GAGCCTGCAGAACATGGGGTTCTTCAAATGATAGCTTTTGGCTTCCCTTTCAAACAACCTCAGAAGAGGTACCCTCAAACAAAGACACCCCTCATATGTTGCCAAATAACTTCATGGGGAATCCAAGTTTCTTGTCGTCTTTTGACAACGTTTGGTCAAAGCGACTGGATCAATATCCTTTGGGGTCATCCAATGCTATGCTGTACTGCCATCCTTTTGGTTCTTTGCGTGGGTTTGGGTAGACTTGGGGGAAGGGGGCGACCCCTGAAATTCCGTGTATATACGTAGTTCCGTGTTGCTTTTGTGGGGAAGGCTAGATGTGCATCCCCTCTTAACGTCGGGGGGACAGTGGTGGGGGGCATCAATGTGCAACTTGTCAAGGCATTTTCAGGTATGGGTCTGGATGCTTATGTGCCACCAAAATTATTGTGACATACCAAAACACCTTGTAGAAGCGGAACATATCCCCATTCCTCCAAAACATACACCCTTCAACTTGCTTAAGTATTACGAGCCCCTCTCTGCGTCGCGAGCCGAACTCAGTGACCCGAACAGCTGAACTCAGGCGCAGTTCCTCCAGCATTTGGTTTTGCGGCTCCGGCGCGTTTGCGTCATGTGCCTTGAATGGTTTGATTGAACAAAGGTTCCTCAAAACGGTTTGGTTTCCTTTTGGTTTCCCTTGGAAATACCAAAAGGGGGTCCGAAATCCGTTTTGAGAAACGCCAACATGAGGCCTTGGCTTTTGGGGGCCTCTGGGGGTGAACAACCATAGTGGGTTAGAGACATGGTGATAGCTCGGATTTCTGTTGTCCCTTTCTAAGGGAACTAGACCCAGGAGAAATAGGAATGTTTTCTTTCGGTGCAACGCTACAACCTTGTCATGGACTGCGTACTGACCTGACATAGATTGGTTGCGCGAGTGTTCACTTGCAAATTTGCTGAGCCATGTTTACATACGACAACGTTGCGCACGTGTTATTCACAAGAAGGTACCAGGCGATTGTCAAGTGTATCCTTCAAGGAACCCTGGAAGAGCATTCCCCAAAGGCAGGGTTCCCGCTATATTTATCCTTCTGGTGGTTTTAACCTTCATCTTTTGGTTGCCAACTTTAGCCTTCGCGGAGAAACACATCGGGAACCCTGTTTGGTTTCATTTTCGGATGGATGGATGGATGGATGGATGGATGGATGGATGACCTGCAGGGCTCTGCAGACAAATGGAAAACAGGCCTCCACCATCGCAGGGAAGCCTCCGACACACGCCATCGGGCACCCTCTGGATGGCGCTTAGGGCCCCGGACTGGCCACCTCACAGACAGAATCGCACTGCACAATCCCACTACTCCACTGGCAGCAGCTGCGGGTTGTTGAGCACAACTGCACGCGAGAGGCTTGGATGTTCACTCCGCCTTTTGACAACCATCTGGATGCAAGATGGTTTCCACTACCCGCAAACCAATACCCGGGGTTTGATGGGATACCTGAGCCAGTACTGTCAGCCTGCGGTTTTTAAGTCATCCCAATCCCAGATACAAATCAAAGGAAATTGCTGCATCACCTATTTGACGGGGGTTATCTAAACATCCGAGCAGGTTTATGGCTCACCTTTGTCAGTTCCCCAAGATTTCCTCTGGTTTTGGTATTACGCCCTGAGCACTGGCTTAAAGCCCATCAAACAGTGGCGTTAAAACAAGAAAACACACAGTAATCAGTGGCTGACAACATAATTTGGTCAAGCAATAGCCCAATACCAATTCCCTCAAACAACTTCATTAGCCCTCAGACGCTGGCTTAAAACTTCACAAGCCCTCAAGCACTGACCCCAACACCCGAAAAGCTATTTGGAAGCCCTCCAACAGTGGCGTACTTGCTCGTTTAAAAGCTCAAAACACCCTCAATGGCTATGAACACCCTAAGCAACCCCTGGGCAAACCAACCTAAACCGCGAGCAAGCCATGGCAAGCCAGGATCATCTTTCAGGTGGTGGTCGCAGCTTCCGCTCAGATGCGGTACGAGGCCACGGGGCTTTGCATCCGCCTTGGATGTTTGACTCTTCTGGGTGAAGCGATCAGTCACTATAGTAGGCATCCAGGGGAGAAACCATCCATGGCAACGCTTAGAGGCAAAAACACGGTTGCCCACTTCAATGTTCTCAAGAAAGCAACCAGTCGGTTTCAAACAGAATCTATCACTCCTGGACATATTCTAGTAGTTGGAAAGGGAACTTATGCAAATGGCGGATTAGCTTATCCTGATTAGAATTGGAGGCTTCTCGGTCGGTTGGGGGAGGGTCTTTATGTGGATTGGGCCGCGGCCAAGCCTGGTGTGGTCTGAAACACAAACAAGCACAAGGACAGCTTTTGCAGGTCATGTTATGATGTCTGCAGACCTTTCAACAATGGGTCATGGCAACCCAATTTTGATTCGGGTCAAATGGTAGATTGGCGCAACAAAGCGCATGGGGAAAGCTGGAGCTTGTCTGTGCGCATGGTCCATGACTCATGTTGAGCTCGAACTACGACCTGCCCTTGGCTGCAAGTTGTAAGACCAGGCCTCACTTGTATGGGTAGTGATGCACATCCTGCCCTACCTGGTGCTCTGATCACCACCCGGTGCCGCCAGAAAGGAACGGACTACTTCCTGCGCATGACCTTCGTTCCTCCGCCATCTTTCTCCCGACGAGCGAACCCCTTCCGATCTCAGGCAGCTTGGTGCTGCTTGGACAAGGCAGCACTGTGCGGGCAGTCACAATTTGCCGCGACCAATGGCAGGGCTATGATTTTAAACATCACCTTTCGACCTTTTGACCTTTTTGGCTTAGCCTTGTTGGCCCATTTTTACTCAAGGTTCCACAAGGTCAACATTTTACTTTGGGTTCTTTGGGCAACTGAGTCTATTAGGTGGTTCTATTGCCTTGTTACAGGATGATAGCCAACAAAGCATCGTTATAACCAAGTAGAACCAAAAGTCACTGGGTTTCGGGCGGTGCTGCCTGCTCATCTTGGAAGGTCTACGGCCTTTTCGACCATCGCTGTGGGTACTTGGTAGGCAGGGCGGGGATTTCCTCGTCGCTGGCTTCGCTTCAGTTGAGGACCAGTTGGGGATGATGGTTCATGAGCTCGCTGGGATGTTGAAATGGTTGGCTTCCCTTTGTGTTTTCTTGCAAAAGTGAGAAAAGGGCACCGTTCATAAAGAAACGCACTTCTTTGCTTGAGCTGGCTTCCTTTTTGGTGTGAGCCCTTTGACCACTTTGGAAGCTATAATCATGATGCCATTTGAGAAGTCCCTTTCTTTTCCCAAGCACATGTTCCGAATTCCGGTCCTGTTTTGCTGGTTTTGACCGTTGAACGGTATTTTGATCGCTAAACATCAACTTAGCAGCCCTTCAACCTGTCCAAATCGACCGTGAATCGTTTGCATTAGTCACTTCGGTCAATCCACGCGGGCTTCGAACATGCTATTGTATCGCTGGAGGCTTTGCCAGTAGTGGTCTACGTGACAACGCAAGAGGCAAAACAAAGCAAGGAGCCAAGTCACATGATGGTCCCGGAGGCCACCGAGGTCACATACCAGCAACTGTTTAGATATCCTTGGATAGTTGACAGGTTTAGAGCCCCACCATGTCCGGAAACAAGAACCACAATACAGAATAACGCACACCCAGCCAAGTCACGGTTGAACAAGTGGAGCAAGCCTGTCAGAACACACCAGGTCAAGCTAAGCGGCTTTCAGAGCCCAGCAACTCTTTGGAAATCCTGTCCTCTTGCAGACTTCCTTCGTCTGACGAAGGCATTGCCATGGCATCGTAAACCAGACGCTCACACGAGTGATGCAGGCGACGAGACTGTACAAACGCAGCAGCACAGACGTGCTGCGGAGCAAGGCCTGGAAGGGAAGAAAGGTAAGCGAGCCACACGTTGAGGAGACAAGGCAACTTTGTGGTCGGCAGATCGAAAGCGAGAGGGCACTGACAGGACAAGGAAGATGCCGGGCAATCAAAAGCAGTGAAGGAGTCCGTGTCAGGCGGACTACGCAAGTCAATGTGGGAGTCCAAGTAAAAAGGATCAACGAACCAAGTGATGCGAAGCAGCGAGCACGAGCGCGGTGGGGCGTAGCCAGCAAGCATCAGCGAAGGTATAAGGAGGCCCAACGCAGCATATAGCAGCAACGGTGCTCGTGGACGTCGTAACTGCATGCGCCCCCCAAAGAGAAATGGACCGAAAACACAGAAACGTGCAAAAACATCACGGCCTAGTATCAGTCCGCCTCCCCCAACAGGAGGTATAATTTTCTGATGATGTTTTCGAGGCCCCTTGTTTGACCCCGCATTTTTCTAAATACTTTCGCTCCTTGCCTGGAGGTGGCGCATGAGTGAGCCACGAAAGACGCTGAGTTTTGGCCCCAGTCGAATCACACAAAATGGGTGTCTTCCATTTGATGAAGATTATTGATATTTTCCTGTGTTGAATCCATCACTATCGGAAATGTGTGTTTTCAGGGGACTTAAGCAAATGGAGAGCGCATTTGTTTGGAGGGTACCTTTTCAACGCCCCACCCATCTTTGACACACACACACACACAATACACACACAATCACAAATGGATTCATATAGCCTCCTGTCCCACAACCATGCTCTCAGGGAATCACTGAACCATGTTGCTTTTGTCCTCCCAGGTTCCAGTGATTTGGACACTGCGCCTGGGGCTCAGGGCGGGGGGGGTGGTCCTAGGATTCTGCGGGCCAGGGAATGGTCGATCGATTCCCTACCAAACGTGGACTTTGGGGGTTGCATTTCCAGTTGCATTGTCCCTCCAGTATTTGTTTCGCGCTTCGAAGCATAGGCTAGTTTAAATTTTCAAGTACGGGCTTGGGTTGGGGCAACAACTGAGGCAGCCTTGGCGAGATCAATTGAACTGGGATTTGCCAGGGGCCATGATGGAAATCAAGTTGGGATCAAAGAAGAACCCATTGGCCGTGGCTCTAAGCCGCCGGAGCTGACAGAAGGCTCCTGAAGAAGAATTGACCAGGTATCTCTCAGGTTCAAGATGGCAGGCTAGTACTCACTAAAGCAATATTGAGAAAAGCCACGACTGAAAGGCGGAGTCACTGCTGAAGAACTTTGATTTGGAAACTGGGAACCAACCTGACAGTTCTGCCTCTGCCTCTGTGCGACTGTTACACCTGAAGAGGACCCCTGGATCCAAAGGCACCCAGGGTCGGCTGTTGGTTCCCAAAACCGAGTCTTATTGTCTTGTTGTGTTCAATCAGCGACCTTCATTAGGAACATGGGATAAAGTGCGAACCGGCCCCCAAAGCGACATTTGGTTCCTTTCAAGGGCTGTACCACGTATGGCTCGGGTAGGTGCCTCTGAATCACTCATTTACACCTGAGAAGTCTTATACAAAGAGTTTTCGGATATTTATAGTACATATGTATATATATATATATAGAATTATATATATATATACTATATATATATATATTCCCATGAATACATAGATCGACAAGTGCATATATGTATACAATATAATACGATATTAAACAATCATTCATGTATTAATATGAGAGGCACTTACCCCGCACGTGATACAACAAGTTCTTGGCTTGAAAACCAAACGAAGTGGTCGCTCTCGCCAGGTCCTGCCCCAACGCTTGGCACGTGCCGGTAGACGCCTTGGCCGGGATCCTTGGGATTGAGGATCAGGGTTCCGAAGTGGATTGGAAGCCTTGAAAACTAGGAAAGGCGAAAGAACACGAGGCAGTGTTAGCGCCTAAGGGCCTAAGTAGCAAGACTGGGAACGTGGGGTTTCACAACATCATATTCAAGAAACATTGCTGACAGATGAGTGTTTCGTGGGAGGGGTGCGTCACTTCTGCCGTTCCAGTTACTCCCAGGGTAGCTCTCCACTTTGAGGGCGTTGCCACCAGGCCCAAGTTGGAGAAATTTCTGGCTCTCGAGGGCAGGACTGGGCGGAGAGCTACTCCTAGAGTATCTCGCCGCGATTGGCGTTGCCCGCCAAGAATCTCGCCGCTGGAAACAATGAAGGACCACGATCTCGCCTCTGGTGAAGAGAGTTTGCAAACATCTCGCCGCCTGGCTGCCCTGAATCCGAAATGCTTTGACGGATGTATCTCCAAACATCCGTCCAGTGGAAACCCTGCAAGACGGTTGTGATATATTTTACTTCTTTTCTACTTATAATCTGCCCAGCCTGCTTTCACCTTGGCAGCATTTTGCAATAATCAGGCGACAGCTTAACAAAGGAGAAACTGGAACGGCAGAAGAGACGCACCCCTCCCACAGAACACCCATCTCTCAGCAATGTTTCTTATTTGTCATTGCTAGACCAAGATCTAATCTTTTAACTTTTCGCCTTTTCGGTTTCCCTTCATTCCCCTTTTCAACCAGACAGTTGTGCATCTGTCTGCGAGTCTGCGAGTCGGATCCGTCTGATCAAGCATGCGTCCAAGGGCTCATTCCCCATTCACTTCACCCATGATCACCCATTTTCCCAGGGGATTCGCCAATGCGGAACTACCAGCAATCGGCTAAGGACGACTAAAACCCGAGGGTTACTTGAGGTGACAACTAGGACAGTGCAGGGTCCCTGCGTTTGTTTTTGCCTGGCAGACATTGATTTCCTGAAGCCCTACCCCTCTTGAGCCCCTCCAAAAACGCAACAGAGGGAAGGAGGTATGTTTGGAAGAAACAATTGGAAGGGTGCAAAATGGATGTGTCTCTAAATCAGGGAAGCCCAAACTTGCACACCCAGGCCCAGGCGGGCAAACTGAAAAGGGAGCTCTGAGCTTCCTGGTGCTGCATTCTCAGTTCTGAGGATCTCTTTCATTTGAGCGAGATATGTGAATTGATCTTAATTGGGACCCTTTGGTGGACATCATTCTTGTGTCCACCAAGCCCTTTTCAGCGGGCCCCTCAAAAAGTTTGTGCCTTTACGACTGCAAAGTGTTGATTGGGATCCCTTCACACGGATCCTGATTTGGTCTGCCTATTTCATGGCGAGCGGTTTCACCGATCCAAAATAAGACGAGGTCACCATGAAGGTCCTGTCTTAGGGGTTCCCTATTTCAGGTTTTTTGATAGTTCACAGATTGTTTGGGTTGGGGAGTTGTTGTGCTGAACTGCAATGCGATGATTGTGTGGACTTTCTATTTTGTTCGGATTCACTCTCCTACAGATGAACATGCCACTCTAGAACGTAATTCTGGGGTTTTGATATCATCCACGAGTTTGCGGTTATGTTGGTTGGCAAGTTTGTTTATTCTGAATCTGCGCTTGCTTGAGACTTGCGTTGAGGCCATGGTGATGCTCGTCTTCGGCTTCATCATGTGTTTTGCCGCTCGGTGTCTACGGGGAAGGATGCAAAGCGAAGCAACTGGCAACCAAGCAAGCTCACCTTCAGAACCTTCAGGGGAAATACTAGGTTAGCTACTATGGTGGAACCCCCCTTCCTCTGCAAATTTCGCCAATCAGCATAAGGAGTACATGGTGGACATCCAAAAAAGAACAAAACCAAGTGGTTCCTACTTGGTTGGTTTCCCGCTGCACGAACCGCAAAGAGAGAAAGGTGCCCTAGAATACAGGTACCCCCGAGTCTAACAGCGGCATATCTTGGGGGCCCTAATTCAGCGGGACCGTTCTTGCAACCTCAAACCGAACCATCCCTTGTTGAAATATGGGATCTTCTGTCCGGGCTGCTAGGCTATCCTAATCCTTCCGTGGGATACTGGTCCCCTCCTAGTGGTCTTCCAATAGGGGCTAAACATTAGGACTGGCTAACCTGCAGATGGGTGTGTGTCCTTTGAGGGTAGCCCTGGAGAACCTGGCAGTTTTGTTGGTTCCAGGGGTCAGCGGGGATTCAGGTGAAAGGCTTCGCTCTTTCCTTTTTTCCCGCTCCAACCAGCGCCTTTGGCCGCTAGGTCACTTTTGGTTGGCGTTTCGATGTGCTCAAGTGGCCCTATTGTGACCGAACCTCACATGTGCCATGATCACGAACAATCTTTTGGTTGGGGTTGGCAGGGATCGCCTGTTCCAGCTGTTTTTCGGCATACCCGTACGTGAAAATTATTCCGGAACCACCTCAAAAGTGGTTGGTGGACATGAATCCCCACCTAAATCATGTCCACCAAAGGGTCCCTGAATAGAACTCATGCCCATATTGAGCACAGGTTATGAAATCTTCTGTTGTGAGAATTCCCAAGTGACACTCGCAGGTCCTGGTTTGGCTTCTGCCCTTCCGGCGCTTCGTTGATGCGCCGGCCGCCCGTGGGGCCCTCAGCCGGCATCCCGCCCAATTGGCTGGGGCATCCCACTGGCAACGCCACAAGTCATGGTTTGCGTATATTGTGTACTATGGGCTCAGGGAACCTTTGGGGGACATCATCTAGGTGGGGATAAAAAAGGGAACCTACTATTTGTGAGGTGGTTCCCTAGTTCATGGCCAATCTTGCGAGCTAAATCATTGCACTTCTAAATGTTGTCACGGGCCCGCCCAAGTATGAAATCTTGCGGCAGCGCCGTATTGGGATGGGGCCACCATTGGAAACACTGGGCAAACCCAGGGAATTGGGGTGCAAGGGCCGAAGGATTCAACATAATCATAAAAGAACAGTGTGTGTGTGTGTGTCGCGCTGGTTCCTTTATGTTTAGTATAGCATCCCGAAGGTTTGTACCCGAGCCGACTGTGAAACCAGCTTCATTGTTGGTTGCAGGCATACAAGCTATAGAGTTCGCTATGGGTTGTGTTCGAAGCCGGGCGAAGCCAGAGGGCGGGATGGGGCTGAGAATTCCAACCTGGGGACCTGTTCTGCGCTTCATGTACTGGCCAAGCAAAGCACTTCAAGGATAGCTTCAGAAACCAGACCATTACTACTTCGCAAGCGTGAGTTGCCATTTAGGGTTTGTGTCAAGTTGAGGGGACCCCGAATAATGTGGTCTTCCTTTTGGCGTTTCCCCTCACAAGAGGGTCACGTGTTGATAAAATACAACAAACCAGCCTCACAATTTTTGCTTGGGCGATCGTTTTTTTCTTTGGCAAGCCCTGGATGGCAATCTTTCGCGACAGTCCCCCAGCTTCTGCGAGTTGTACACCGTATGCGCCGCGTGAGTTGGCCTTTAGGATTCGTTTTTCAGGTTGGTTAATCATGGTCCAAGACCCTCGATGGCACGCGTGTTACCTTCTTGGGGGTGCTACCCTTCAGTAGCAACCAATCAAGCAAGGTGTTGCGTTTCCCCGCTACTAAAAAATTGGACAACCAATGCAGACGTGTGTTACCCTCTTTCAAGGACCTTGAAAAGTAGGGACCCTTCTCGATGTTTCCTTTAGTTTCACAGGAAGGAAGCCATATGTGGCCTTATTTGGCGTCTCCGTTTTCCCGAAAGCATGGCGAAGGGTTCTTCCGCTGGGTTCACTTGAGTTGTTCTCATGAGAGTCATTACAAGGTGTCATTGCAAGGAATCAGCATCATGAAAGTCATTGCAAGGAGTCATTGCAAGGAGTCATTGCAAGGAGTCATTGCAAGGAGAAAGTCATTGCAAGGAGTCATTGCAAGGAGTCATTGCAAGGAGTCATTGCAAGGAGTCATTGCAAGGAGTCATTGCAAGGAGTCATTGCAAGGAGTCATTGCAAGGAGTCATTGCAAGGAGTCATTGCAAGGAGTCATTGCAAGGAGTCATTGCAAGGAGTCATTGCAAGGAGTCATTGCAAGGCAAGGAGTCATTGCAAGAGTCATTGCATGGCAAGGATTGCAACTTGCACTTGACTCCTGCAACTTGACTCCATGCACTTGCAACTTGCACTTGACTCCATGCACTTGGCTCCTTGCACTTGGCTCCTTGCACTTGCAACTTCCACTTAACTCCGTGCACTTGCGACTTGCACTTGACTCCATGCACTTGGCTCCTTGCTGCTCATGACTCCTGCAATGGCAATGACTCCTGCAATGACTCCTTGCAATGACTCCTTGAATGACACAACAAGTGCAAGTTGCAAGTGCAAGGAGTCAAGTGCAATTGACTTGCGAGGAGTTAAAATCTCTTCTTAGGGCGGCGGGGTAGTGCCGTGGTCAAGGTGCAAAAACCCATGGTTTTTTGCGATTTCTAAAGTTCCCGCGCGACCCTCTGCGGGGATCGGCGTGGTCGAGGTGCAAAAACTCGAGGTTTTTTGCGACTTTTGTTGTTCGAACTGGTCCTCGGGAGTTGTCTCGTGGTTCGCGCGCCTGCTCCCGGAACCGGCGGGTCGCGGGCTCGATTCCTCCCTGGTCCGCGGGCGGGCGTCGCAAGATGCAACTTGCATTTTAAAGCAACTTGCGCAGAGCAACTTGCGCAGAGCAAGTTGCACAGAGCAACTTGCGCAGACCAACTTGCACCGACCAGTTTGCGCAGAGCGCCTTGCCTAGAGCAACTTGCGCAGAGCAACTTGCGCAGAGCAACTTACGCAGAGCAACTTGCACAGAGCAACTTGCACAGAGCACCTTGCCTGGTGCTGTCTCGCACTTGCTTCACGAATGCTTCGTGTAGGGAAAAAGAACGCATCCTGCAGCGTTGGGCCGACCTCGCTTGCGATGTTCTGCTTTCGGGCCAACCGTGGTCTAGTTTGTTGGGGGGTGGTTTTGAGTGGGTGGCCGGTTTCCTACGAGAATGGTTCAGCCAAAGGCCTGGTTTTGCTTAGGGTCAAAGATTAAGGTTTGTATCTGGCACCCGCAGGGTGGCAATTCGCCTTTGGACGGCAGGAGCAGAGGGCACCTTCCTTCAGAAGCCAACGACCACATTGACTCATATCGGCGGATCCAATTGATCCCATGGGGTCCCTTGGGCTTCAATATCTTATTTCAACCCTTGAGAACCGACATCCAAAACCGGCCCAAAACTTTGGGTATGGCGGGTATGGCCCATGTTGAGCCTTCTATTTCTAGCTACGTTGGCGGATAGAATTGTTAGGGCTTTAATGGACGTGTTTGCTTTTTAAGATTTCGACCCCCCAAAATGGTGGTTTTCCTTTACCGCCAAAACGGGCACCCTCAAAAAGAGACGCAACGCAGCCATGTTTTGAGCCAACACGACTTCAACCCAGAGTGGGTGATTTCCCTGCATTCAAGTCTTGGTTAAAAATGGGCCCCTGTGCTTGGTTCATTCTGACAGGAAGCCGCCCAACCTTTTGAGGTTCGGCGTACACGCTTAGGTGTTCGGCCAAGTCTGTGCATGGGTGGTGAGTGTCCCACAGATTCCGCCTGCAGGCTGGACGGTGGTGCTCGTCCGCCGCGCACTGCGGCGCAGCTATCTGACTGGCGAGAGAAAGGCCGGGTTTGGAGATGTGGTTTCATTCGAGAACGACCTTGTTTGTTCGTGTTGTTTGTGGGGATCCAGTATTTTGAAACCTTTGCAGGGGGATTAACTGGGGCTGAACGGGGGGCTGACTACTTCGCAAGGTCCCGAATCGCGCCAGTGGTCTGGGGGTATCAGCCCCAAAGATTCCTGGTTCGGGGGTTCCTCAATTTTGCCCAGATGGGTGGCGGCCGCGTCCAAATGGGGTCCCGGTCCAAACATGGTTCAACTTGTTGTGTTTCAATGAGGAATTTGAACAGCGGAAATCAAGGTCATTTTGAGGAACAGCAGAAATCAAGGTCATTTTGCGGATTTGCACTGGTGTTGGATTGCTTTAGAAAAAATGGTTTAGTATCGGTTAGTATTGGCTTAGTATTAGTTTAGTGTTGGTTTACGATTGGTTCAAGCACGTCCTCCGAATACGACTAGAGTTGGGGTCGTTGGTAAATTTGCTGGGTTTAGAATTGGTTTAGTATTGGCTCATTCTAATCTTGGGAAATTTGGGATCTGAGAAAACGGATTCATGAATAGGGTGCACTTGTTGACAATGACTAGTACCGATCGGTTTTGATTGCAACTTTTGTCACACTTCAAGTTTCACTAGAATTGCCAGGTTTATGTAGTCATGGCAGGCGTTTGATGTGACCTTACTTCCTTGAACCTCTTGGAAACAAATGCAAATGGCTTTCCATAAAACCCACAAAAGGTCCAACGACTTTTTGCTCAGGGGGCATGGAGCAGCGCAGCAGCGGGTAAAAGAAGAAGAGTTTTCAAGGAGACAATCCCTTCAAGAACGTGAAAGTGCACATACTGATTTTGGAAGACCCTCCTGCTGAAATCATGTGGCTGAAGCCTCGTTGTCATTATAGCTCGGGGGCAAAAGTTTGGGTAGTTTGCGTTAGCGTTTCAAACCATGCCGTCCTTTTGTTCTATGGTTCTAAGAGGCTTGTGAACCACCACCTAACCACTTTAGTGTACCCCTTGTTTGGATGTACAGCGGTGGCCGGGGGCGTCCTCTGCCGATCATCGACCTGCGCAAGGCGCCGCGCACGCCGGCGCCCCTTTGGCCGCTCTCTGCGCTGCTGGTGTCTCTGGGCGTAGGGGCAGCCCAGTGTCCAGTTTCGGCCGAGGGAGAGGCAACAACGGCGGTGCCCTGACTAGTTTGTTTATTTATAGCTAAGTGATATGTACATTGTGATTAGATAGTGTTAATGGAATCAAATCATTGCTTGGTGCTTTAAAAGTGAGCCGGTGGAATATCCCCAGACGTTTGGAAACTGTGGCTACCAGGCTTTGGGTTGCTTGCCTCTGTAGGTTTTACCCCTGGTTACCCACTGTAATGGGAACTAGAAGGACTGGGGTACTGCTGTGAAGTACAGATTAACATTGACACTTTAAGAAAATTCTGGGAAATGGCTCTCCAAAGAGTTAGACTAGGCCTTGCCCCTCCGCATATTGCCATCCAGTCAGAGGGTCCCCCCCACACTTGTTGGCATATTCTGAATACGCCCACCAAAACAACCCTATGTTCAATCAATTATCGCTCCCCCAAAAGTGGTTAACCAAAAAGGAAATCATAAGGGCTAAATCCAAACATGTCAACAATCCCAGCAAATATGGATGGCAATATGCGGACGGGACAAGGCTATATTAGATAGATGTTCACCATCATGGCTCACGTGTTGACGGCTACAATTGCAACAGACGTAGGCCACAGTTCCAACTGACACGCTCCACCTGACACAAGCTTCCAATTCTGGGGCCTGGTGCGGGCCTGGTGCGGGCCTGGTGCGGGCCTGGTGCGGGCCTGGTGCGGGCCTGGTGCGGGCCTGGTGCGGGCCTGGTGCGGGCCTGGTGCGGGCCTGGTGCGGGCCTGGTGCGGGCCTGGTGCGGGCCTGGTGCGGGGCTGGCGCGGGCCTGGTGCGGGCCTGGTGCGGGCCTGGTGCGAGCCTGGTGCGGGCCACTGCCGCAACAGCCCCACAAATCCGTTCAACAGCCCCAGAAATCCATTGCAACAGCCCCAGAAATCCATTGCAACAGCCCCTGAATCCCGGTGCAAGAGATCAAGAAATGCGTTGCAACTGCCCTAGACTTTCGGAGCAACAGGCGTAAAAGGCCGTAGCAGCTGCCCTAGTATTCCACAGCAATTGCCCAAGACATTCCTTGTAAGGTAAGGTAGTTTCACCACTGTCCCGATAGTTTGACAATTCCCATTGAACAAGGTTGCCTTGTCACTTCACACTGCGTCATGGGGATCCAACATGCCGCTCACAATCAGCAGCACGCTTTCCTCCGCAAACTCACCTATCGAGATTCGGTTGATGCATTTGTTTTTCAGTTCGATGTCACACGTGAGCAACATCATTGTGTTTGTACATTGAATTTTAGACGTGGCAAGCCTGCAGCATCATGTTGCCATGAAGCACAACCGTTCACAGAAGCAGCGGCTGCGCGGCTTTCAGCTGTGTGTTTGTTGCTGCTCCATGCATGCTGGACTCCAGCAGGATTTGTGAGGCATGCCATTTCACATCACCGTGATGCTGTCCAGCTGACTGCATGTGACACAAGATGGTGGTGTATACAGTTAAAAAACAATTAGAACATTGGGCTGGTTTAGAAGGCAAGTAGGAAATACTGTTTACAATGAGTAAACAAGCAACAAAATAACAAAAACGGATTAAACATTTTTTAATAATATCTAATTAGATTATGGTTTTCCTATACTTACAACATATAAGAGTTTATATGTTGTAATTATAGTATACTTGTATTATATACGCCGTGGTGGTGCCTATCTACCTAAGCCTTGCCAATCCGCATATTGCCATCGATATTTACTGGGGTTGTTGACATGTTTTGAGTTAGCCCTTATGGTTTTTTCCATTGGTTAGCCACTTTTCGGGGAGCGATAATTGATTGAACAGTTGTTTTGGTGGGCGCGAAACTGTGTGGGGGGGGACCCTATGAGTGGATGGCAATATGCGGAGGGGCAAGGCCTGGTCTAACTCAAAGGGTCCCTTAAAGCTTGCTAGTTCTCAGTAGAAAATCACCTGGGGGTTTGGGGAATGAACCGGAAGGTATTGGTACAGGACGTCGCAAGGGATTGTTCCTAGGCGGGCCATGTATTTGTTTTCTCTTCAGAACCAGCAAGAACGTAGTTGCATTGTGAGGGGCTCAGGTTTGTTGTACGCGGGAAACCCTTAGAGCCAAAAGTGAGAGAGTTATGTTGAGGATGTTACTGTACTGGAACCAAAACAGGCCATTCTGGCATGCTTTCTGCACAAGTTGTATCGGGCTCACCTGGGCAATCAAGACACGCTCAACATTGATGTTGATCGCTTGCTTGGGGATACTTCCGTTTGGGAACAATAGCAGTTTGATCTGATTTGTCTTTGGCCCTGGCTTTAGTGTGGATGATAGTGATGATGACCCACAGGCCAGACTATTTTTCCACGGGGGTGGCGGACTTTCCCGGCCGGCCCCAGGCCACAAGAGACCGCAATCTCACGCTATCTTAGTGGAGCCAAACGTCGGCTGGCTTTGGGCCCCCACTCCTGCTTAGACGGGGTTGGTCCTTCAACATGACCACACCCACGGGGTAGAACCTTAGTCTGTGTTTCTTTGACTTGCCTTCGGGACCACTACCCTTGTGCCGATCGGATCTTTCGTCGAAGTTGTTAGTAGTCTAGGTCACATCATACCGGTTGTTGTAGACAAAATCTAGGTTGCCAATCACCCAAGCAGTTGCATGCAGTTGCCACTGCAATAGGTAGCCAGGGTGTCTGAATAGTTGTTGAGTCTAGAGTCTAGATTTTGCATGATCGTTTCATTCCATTTGCTTAAGCATAGTTGCTTTGTTTATATGTTCCCCCTTGCTGGTTTCAAAGGGAATCTATCCCTACTGGACATATGTGTTCTTTTCCAGGGGACTTGTTCAAACGGTCGTAATACGTATAAACCTACCGCGTAGACCCGCAAGTTCGGCCAACGACATGACTCACCGATGCTGCAACCATCCACCGAGTCAAAAGTCACAACCAAGACCAATTCGTGCAGATGAAGGAAGGATTGTCCCAACCATAGGTGAGGATATCTGCCCTTTTGATTCTTTAGACCAGTTGAGCAGTGTCCAAAGCCCTTATTGGCAATTTTGCAGGCGGTGCTACTAAGCTTCTGCCTTGCTTCATAGCGTTGTAATACGTCCTATATAAATCATTAAAACCGTCTCAGTAGACCCCAAAGTCAACGGGCTTAACATGTTGTTGGATTTTACTATTAAGCTACGCCGTTTTCAGGGGTTTTCCAGTCAGGTTATGCATACTCAGGTGTGGCCGGAGCCAGTGGCAGAGCTGGAACAAATCTCCGGGCGCCTCGAGTGGCTTTTGCCGCAAGAGAAGGTGCCCCGGCCGTGGTCGGTTGCGCGGCTTTGATGTATGCGGCCCAGGGAATACCGCGAAACTCAGGAACTTACCTGGTGAGTTGGCAAACTATTTCTTGTTGTTGCCAGGCTTTAATCTTCATGATTTGCAGGCGAGGGCCAAACAGAACTTGGTTTCTGGGCCAGTCAACTCAGCAAGTCATAGAGTAAACTTGCGAGCCTCTTTTTCCCACCTAAGATCGCCAGCCCAAAAGGCGACTCCTTTTGAAACCGTTCCACATTTGAAGACAAAGTGATACCATGGGGAGCCATGGGAAGGTCATGTCCCTTGGAGGTCTTTAACGGGCCTGAAAAACACCACAAGTATAAGTCACTAGCTGGGCTGCAATGGCTCCCCTTGCGAAACAGCTGTGAATCAGTGCATGTTTTTGCAATGGTCAATATTTTACTGTCATCTGCTAGATGTCCTTTTGGCTTCCTTGAGATCCGTCAAAAAAGGGTACCAACACGAGCAACAGACAGACCCATTCATCCTCAAAGTGGGTTGTTTGCTGCGGGCCTCCCGTTCAAATACGATCCAAACACGGTCCATTTGAGAAGCTTCCATCGCGCCAGGAGGAGGAGGAGGCTCCAGGCGCCAGCTGGGACTTTGCGCCTTGGATTCGGCAGGGAGCGATTCAAATCGAGGCTGGCGTTTCAACGGGGCCATGACCCCGTTCTTTCGGGCCATGCCCCCATTTTGAAAGGAGTTACGGTCATGAAGACTCCAGGTTGATGTTGTGAGTTGGTCCCTTTTTGGGGGCTGCCCTTTTTTCGGGAACCGAAGGGGAAACCAAAATCCATTGTGGGGTCTATATCCTATTTAAGATACACCACTTGGATGGTCTTCAACAAGAAGGTCAAGTAAGGTCAACTAAGTTCATTTAGCATCACTTAGTGGGCACTGTATATTCTTCCCGCTTAATGACTGCATGCTCACCTTGGAGGTAGCTTTTCTAGCGTTCACCAGTGAGGCGTGGATCGATCACCCCTGTCGTCATGCTGTTTTGCCCACTAGAAGGTCAAGGACTTCCCTCAAAAGTAGTTACAATCGAGCAAGAATAAGTGACCGCGGTGGCCGCGGTGTCAATAATTCTGACCCCTTGCTTTGGTGCGAAAATGGCCAGACCATTGAAACAAGATTCCCTCCATTTTTCTCGGAACCTGGGTCATTGGGTAGGCGAGAAGATTTCAATATGGTTCCTTTCGAAAGGAAAACATTTTCTCACTGTCTTCCTTTCGCGGAACTGTGTCCCTGTTTTCCCCAAACCGCTTTCTCCAACCAATGGGAACATGTTGGGGATGAGGCACAGGAAATGGTTCCTTGGTCCGCTTACTAGGGAAACGAGCCACCCTAAGCAAACATGGATTCTCCATACATTGCCAAAGGGGGGAAAGAGACCTGCATTGGAAGGTTTAAGACCTCAAAAGGGCCATCCGGTAGTGTTTAAAGGGTCATGGAGACTGTGGGAAGCCGTTTCCTCCTGGTTTCCCACTCGGGTTGCTCCGACAAGGCATCGATCCAAAAACGCGCCTGAGGCGAGCTGGCGGTCTGGGGCGCTGGGTGTGGCACAGCTCTACGCGTTGTGCTGGGTGCCGTTACCAGGGATTGGGCCGGTGATGTGCAAGTTCGGCCTCTACCTCAACAGGCCGGTTCCCCGGTTGTGGGTAGTCTGAGGGTGTGGGGTTTTAGGGTGTGAATCTCTGTGTTTGTTTTTGGGATTTGGGGTTAGGTTGGGTTAGGTTGGTTTTGCAGTTTTGGGCTTTTCGGCCTCTACCTCAACAGGCGGAATCAGAGTCCCGGTTACGTTGCCAGGCCAAAGGCTGACCTTTCTAACTTGTTTGCCTTTGTTTTGTTTCCATCCAACCAGCAACAAGTTCATATAGCTTTTGCAGCGGGTCTAAGTCTTGTCAAGTTGGTTGCGCCATTCTTGGGTCTCAAAGCAGAGTTTTTGGGGTTTGGGGGCTTTGAGATCTTCCAAACATCTCGATTTGACTGTTAAACTGATGTCTCCCGTAGCCCCGGTGTTGGTATCGAAATCTCCTAGCTTACAGATGTTCCAGCGCAGTTTGGGCGCGCCCCCATCAACCTTCCCCACGGCAAAAAAAGCAGGAGCCGGCCTCCAAAAGTGTAAGAAGCCCTCTTGGAGGCCCGCAAATATGACTATCAGCTCACACTGTGATTTTCTTGGCTCGGTGCCTCTTTGAGTGTGCTTCAAACGGAAACTAAAGGGAAGCCCATGGGGGTGAGACCGGCAAATGCTGGGCCTTCGGTTCCGTCTCTATCCAGGCGTGTGATCTTCGCCTTTAGTCGAGACGGTCCCTCGGAGGCGCTCTCGTTGCAGCGCGTGAGAGGGTCTGATTGAGAGCGATCGATTGGAAGCCAGAAGTTCCGCAACAAGACAGCCCTTAATTCCTTTTGATACCCTGTTAAAGCAGAGCAGACGACCTATATATCTTTGGAGAGACAAAAATCTGACGCTACCCAGAAAGGTTCAGTCCGAACCCTTCAATCAAGACTCCTTGGGCTTTGAGATCCTTTCCTGAGGGGTGGGAGGGCTACTGGTTTCCTCGCTACAAAGGATGAAGGGTTGCCGTTCTTGTTTCAGACAGCTGCAAAAGACGTGGGTGCGTCACAACTCAGCACACCTTTTTTGGATGGTCTTAAAGGTAAGGCAAACCTGGCATCGTCCCAAAAACTATGTTGTTTTTGCGGCTATATGAAGCAGCATTTGAACATGCGTATCATTTTCTGTGTACCCCAGATGTTGGCCAAGTTAGAGATAAGCCAAACAGACACCGATAATTTGGCAGGTGTCCTACTTTTGAAGCACAGCCGTGTAAGTGCGTCTTTTGTTTTGAGGCCCAAAAACTTTGTTTTTGTTTTGCCTGGTGGTCTCCTTGAAAGAAATGTGGCGGTGTTTGTTCTATTTTCCTCTTAACACGAACCATAAAGGGTTTCCTAAATCAGACCGACCCAAAATCGCATGGAAGTTGTCAAACATATTGTGATACCTTGCTTATATCCAATAAGCACTTACAATGTCCATGACATAGTATTGATATTTGATTGCAGCTTCTAGTTCAAGTATGGCGCTGCGCTGGTCATAACAAAGTTCATCATGATATCCACAGCGATGATAGTTGTACTGCTTGTGTCAACAATGGTAACCTTCATGAGTATTCTGATACTGATAATGGTAGAGTCAAACTCATTAAATTGAGTGTAATTCAGACAAACTATGCTTTACATGTTCTTAATGATACTCCCCCTCAGATCAACGTGGAACCCAAAAAGAAACCAACTATATTTTTCGGGAATAATGATCTCCTTTTGGGGGAACTCTGCTGTGGGTTCCTTTCGTTAATTTGCGGGGGAGTACTTGGATGTTCAACCAACTTATTGAGTAGGTTATAGCCATGGTGATAATGCCAAAGGGGGACTACCCCCAGTTGTCCAAGTTACAACCATGGCTATAACCCACTTACTAAGTTGGTTGAACATCCAAGCGGTGATTCCATTTCTCCCCTGTATATGGTAGGTACCCAAATAGCACCCGATTCAACAACCAAGACAGAAGCTGCTGGTTACCTATAGTGCTAACTGGGATTCACTGGCGTGAACATCATTCACATGGTCATTTATGTCCACCAATCATTTTGGAGGGTGTCCAGTAAAATTAGTCCATAGCCAAATGGGTGTTGTCTTCCAACAAGGAGAACCCCCCTTTCAACAAAAACAGTGGCTTTGCCTGAGTATCCGACTCCAAGCATGTGGTTGTTTGTTGTTGCGCCCGTCGCCCGATTGAAGCGGTTCGAAGCCAGCTTTTCAAGACGCGGATTAGGCGGAGCCCTCGGTGACCTTCGAGAGCACCAAGGCACGTGAGGAAGGAAGCCTTCGGCAGCTGGCGCTGCAGGACATCGGCTCGCAGAGTGGGTACCCTTTTTGCAGACAGTAGATACGTCTTTGTCTTCTTTAGGGTACCCTTTCATGATGGTTTTAAAGCAAACAAATGCCCATGTGGGCCACCAGCAAAACCGAGGTTGTTGAAGGTTGGTACTGGGAGAGCCACAGCCGGAGCTAGAGTGCTTTATCTTCGAAGTTTTCCAACCTCCCAAACCCCCAAAAACTCCAACCCCCAAACCCCCAACCCTCCCAAACCCTTGACATGGATGTATCAGGACACACCCGCCGCACTCCAAGTTATTGGCTGGGCCTGCCATGCCCTGCTGTTGGGGGGCCCGGCTATCGCCCACTGCAAAGGCGATGGGTCCAGTGGGGCATGTCATTGATCATGTTTATGTGTACGTTTTAAGAGGGTGGGTTTCTGTGAAGTCAAGACAAAGATCCTCTCAGGATGCAAGGATGCTTTGTTGGTGAAAGCCCAACTAGTTTGTATGGTTTGTTTGATGGTTTCTTTCAAAATTGAATTGGGGGCGGGGTTGGCCCTGTATTTCTATGTGCAGTGTGAAGTGTGTTTTGCGGGGAAGACTAGAAAAATGGGATTGGGGGTACCCACACTGTATCCCTGAAGGTCAGCTGGATCCTGCATTGCGTGGGTGGGTTGCCTGCCTGCCTGCCTGCCTGCCTGCCTGCCTGCCTGCCTGCCTGCCTGCCTGCCTGCCTGCCTGCCTGCCTGCCTGTCTGTCTGTCTGTCTGTCTGTCTGTCCTTTTGTCTGACTGTAATCTGTTTGTGTGTCTGTAAGTCTGTTTGTCTATCTCAGTTCAGTCTATGCCAGTCTGTGTTTGTCTGTGCCCATCTGTGTTTGTCTGTCTCTGCGCCTGTCTGTGTCTATCTGTGTCTGTCTTTTTCTGTCTGTGGCTGTGTGTGGCTATCTTTACTGAATATGTCTGCCTCTTTTTTTGTCTCTGTCTCTTTCTTCGTCTCTTTCCCTGTCTCTGTTTGTGTCTGTCTGTCTCTGTGTGCCTGTCTGTGTCTGTCAGTGGCTGCCTGTATCTGTTTGGGTCTGTCTGTAACTGATCCGTATTCCAGACCCCCGGTGGTGCCCTTGTTTTGAGAATCTTTGGGGGGTCCCTTCAAGATGAAACACTCACTGCCTGATTTCCTGGACTTTCTACTTTTCACAAGCACCATTGTTAGTGTTAAACGAAAGGTTGGACGTTTTTCTGACCCATCCACTCAAGAAGTGAGAACACCCCGCCAAACAACATCAGGTTGGGGATGCTGGCAACAGGGCTTCCGAGCAAAGGCGTACGAGCGGTTCCACTCCACCGTGAAGGTCCCTATGGATGCCTTTGTTCAGCTCGGTGAAACATAGCAATTTGCGCAAGTTGCTTGATGTTTGCGCTGGACGCTGTGTTTCATTAGAACGTGAATGATGTGTTATTTGTTTGCGTGTGGGATTGAATGGCTGTGTGCAGAAGTGTTGTTATACGCATCTAGCAACATTTATGTTAGAGTATTGCACATTCTTAGCTCGCATGCGTCATCAATTTGCTTTGACGCACTTACTGATGATGTGTTTCATTTGAATTTGCTTATATATATCTGAGCTACATTTAGTTGTTCCAAAGTTCGCAGCCAACAACATGTGTGGTAAAATCCAATGAATTGTGATGATGTTTATTGTCAGGGTCATTTCAAAGTGCTGATGCACACATCAATTCATGCGGTTGACGTAACACTTTGTGCAAGCTGAAACCTTCGTTTGAACACGAGTCTTTGTGTGTTTTTCCTGCTACGTATTTACCAGTTTGAATTGTCAAATCCCTTCCAGCTGTCAGCAGATTGAGTCTGCTTGTCAAACAAAGAGTTCAAACGGTGTGTTCCCAGACCTCACGTGGGTTGCTTCCTGGTTTCCTTTTTGATGCGAGGTGGTTGCTCTAGAGCCAAATGAATGATGCCTTGTGTCCCGTAGGAATCCATCAAGGTCTGGGTTGCGAGAGACATTCAACCCCTCCCCAGACAGGTTCTCAGAATGCTTCAATCAGAGCCTCCTCGTTTAGACAGTTCCTTGCGCACCTTTCGGGTGAGCTAGTGAGAGGGGCGGGCTGAAGTTCTACCCTGCAGGCGGATTCCATTTCTGGGACGGGAGTGCCAGGTATGGAGCTATACAATCAAACAATTGGCAGCCACAACCAGTATACAAGCCTTATATAAGGCATCTACATATATACATTGCCAACTGCTCCCTTATTGCTCCATACCTGGGTTCTCCCAGAGATAGTCTTTGACTTAACCCGCTTTCTCCGTTAAAGCGCATGCCTGTTGGGCTCGTGTACCTCACTTCCTGAGTTCCTGGAGTTCCTAAACTTTAGTCACTTTTTGGGGTTGCAATTTTCGTGGCAAAGGTATTTGTTGCCCCAAGAATCAAAGGGCACTTTACAAGGGGTATTTGGGGTCTTCTCCAAAGCTCATGTGTTTTTCAGGGAGTGACATTTTATGAATGTGTATCTGGAATCTGAACGTACCATTCTTTGTTTACTTCCCAAAGGTTTGCACCAGCAACCCGAAACTTATTTCCTTCACCTTGTGAGGTGAGGGTCTTGCACTGAGGCTTCTCTTCTTGCTGCTCAGTCAGCTTGTCCGGAGCCCGGCTGGACCCGGGCGGTTGGTCGTTTCTCAAAGAGGGAACCCCACCTTGTTGGGACGGTGTCACAACGAAATCGGATAAAAGTACTCTTCTACGCGAATCTGCTGGAGAGTATGTGTTTGCTTTTGTTTAATTGGTTTCAAGGAATCCGGCTTTTTTCAATGTTATGATGACCCCTGATGACAACATAGCGTAGAAGCCGGTGTTCGTGGAAGACAGGAAGCCATACGGTCGGACGCTGTACGTATCAAAAACTGATTGTATACGCCCAACTTGAAACCGAGAACAAACTATAATCATCTAGGGTTCTTACCAGTGCATCATGCATACAATGCATTTAGCCTTTGAGCAATCCCCGTCCCCATAAAGTAATTTGCGACAGCGAAGGCTGACGGGGTTGCAAGCTCTGGCCAAAAGCTTCCTTTCTTGGGCCCATTTCTCGTTTTTGATGTCTTGACAAGACGATGTAACAAGGGGGCGTACTATAGTGACCTGTTTATTTCGCCAGAGAGCTTTCTGTTTTGCCCTTTTGCCCTTTTTGGGGTTTCCTCGATTTCTACTTCAACTAGCAACATTTTAGTTTGCCCTCAAGTTTCGGTCAAAGTTTCGTCTCACCGTCGTGGCAAACTCGGTCGATAGGCTTGGGACATTCGTCACATTTGTTTTTTCCCTAAGCATCATCGGAGCCTCTTGAAGGGGTTCACGCGCCTTTTCGAGGGCCAGAGTGCTTGGGGCAGCTGTTTCTTTTTAACACCATGCACCCATTTTTGTGAACAACTCTGACGAACCATTGTTCCCTTCATGGTTCAAACGGCATCGTGCGTTTCCTTTTCGGGCGATTCCTTTGGGTGATGTTTCCGGGGTAGCACAGCGGCTTCCTTCAGCACCTGAAGCAAGGGGAAGCCATGTAGAGTTTAATTCTGGAGCCCAAAAAGCATGGCCGTTTGTTCGAGCCCTTCCCGTTCACCCTGAGATCAACTTCCGACCTGAAGCAAGTTGTTGAGTTTCTTAGTTGGGGCGAGAGAGCGAGAGAGCAGAGACAGAGACAGAGACAGAGACAGAGACATAGAGACGGAGACATAGAGGCGGAGACAGAGAGAGAGAGAGAGAGAGAGCGAGAGAAAGAGAAGGGATTCACCCGCATACTCGTTCCCTTTCTTGGGGCAATGAGCAACCCAAATCCCCAAAATCCAAGACTCGCAAGCCATGAGCAGGTCGTGGCCCTTGCTGGTGCTTAGTGGCCCCCAGTGGCATCTAATAGTCACTCTTAGGCTTCAATGGCGCCAAGCGGCTCTGAATCATGAGGTTCGATCAAATTGGTTACCGGACTGTTCATTTCGGACGCACGTTTTCTTTCTTCCAAAAACCAGAGGCCTCACAAAAATTGCGTAGGTCCTTCCGGGGGAAGACATTTTGACGGCCCCCTGTTCCGCCGGCCTGAATGGCCGCTCACATTTCCAAGGCACTGGGGGATTTGCAGTCCCGGGTGACAGCTCTTGCCACCTTTCTGGGTTTCGCACTGGTCGGGGCCTGAGAGGACCCACCACTTTTGACCTGATGTGCCAGCGGTTGGTTTGTGTTCTTTGGGTGTTGTGTGGTGCCTGGAGTCAAATGGCGTTCATGACCTCTTTGAGGGTAATATTGGGCTGCCAAACAAGTGTGTCAAATTTTTGTTGACCTTGGCCACAGGTTCAGCTCGGCCTTCTCTTTGGGTTCCAGGTTTCATACCGCAATCGACGTATGGGCAAGCGAAGCCAAGGGGAATGCATTCCCAACGGATTGGTCCGGCTGCGTTGATTCTTTGCATGGTTTTGAGTAAGCCATGTTTGACCATACGACTCAAGCTGTTGACCCCTTACAGGATCTGGTTTGAACTATATGTTACTGTTGAAGGGTGACTTAATGTGGACCACAATCAAAGTACGATATTAGGTTGGGGGTGATGCTGAAGATTGAGTATTTCGAAAACCATCTTCAACCCGCAAGGCCACAGCAAGGTTTGTGCAGGAAAGCGGAGGGCTCAGAGACCACTGGAAGTTTAAGTTCAGCCACCGGACACCAGGATCTCATCTACTCAAAATATCGATCCAACTAGTTCCAATCCACAAGCATCACCCCCACATAGTGTCAAGGTGCTTCAGAATACTCGGAGCAAAAATCACCCCCAAAAGGCTCCCTGAAAAGGGCCCTGGCGTTTCCTCAAGCCCGAAGGCGAGATCCTTGAGCCTTAAGTTTCGATACATGAGATCCCTTGAGTCTGAAGTTTCCATTTTCTTATTCCGCGGAGAGGACTGTTTCGTGTTCCGCTGTCGAACCGGAGAACCAATTGCTCCTTGTCGCGCCGCGGCTTTGAGGGACCTGGGCCGGTGTTGGAGGGTACATCGCCAGTGACCACTCTTAAAACAGGTCAAGGGGTCAGCCCCAAACATCCCTCTTTGCTGGGCAACTACCTGAGTCCAAGTTGCAACTTGTGAGGTTCCAACACATTGATTTTCCACGAAGCAAGAATCAGACATTAAGCTGCTCCATGGATGTGTTCTTGAAGGTAATTGGAGAACGTTCTATCCTAACCAAGAGGGAAGCTGACCAATTCGGGGAACCTTTGGAGCACCCATTTGCCCTTCTGTTCAGGGTGTTCGCGGAACACGTTCTAACCTATCCAAAATAATTGGGCATGTGTTTCTTTCTTGAGGTATCCTGTTATTATGGTTTCGGGAAGAAAGAAGTTGAAATCCCGCAATTTTTAGGAGGGCCCACTTCTTGAATTGACACAAACCGATTCGAGAGAATCCTTAGCACCCAAACCTGCCCAGGGTAAATGGTCGAAACGTTCTAACTTCTAAACTAAGTCCTTGGAACAGCCTGAGACAACCTCATCCCGGATCGCGGCCGATCCCCCGATCCCTTCGATCGGATGCTCTCCCTTACCGTGGAGTTGCTGAGCGGCCGCAGCTGTGAGCTTCGGGTCTCGGAGGACGGGTCGATGTCAGGTCAAAGAGAAACCGGGGACCTCCAACCTGGTGAAAGGGGCGAAGGAATTGGGTGGCTCGTCTTTTTTAGAGATTGGTCCCCCAAAATGTCTTCGTTTTTGTTTTCCCTTTTTTTTTTCTTCTCTGATTTCCGTTTAGAACCATTCGAAGTGGAACATTAAGAAACAGAAACTTCCAGTTAGAAGGGGGGCTTGGAGTTGAGGCTAAACGAAGCCATGACCAGGGCAACATACTGTTCAATATTATTCAACCCCTTGTAGTATGTTTTTCCTTCGGTTTCCCTTTACATCAGCTCAAAGGAGGTTTCCACGAGAAAGAAAAGCAGTAAGAAGCATTAGGGGTTCTGCAACAAAAGCCAACGGAGGGACACGGTACGCTATTTATGTCGAGCCGAAAAGCCAACCCTAAACCAACCCTAAAGCAACCCGTCCTAAACCAACCTAAATCAACCCTAAACCAGCCCTAAACCAGCCCTAAACCACCCTCTAAACCAACCCTAAACCAACCCTAAACCAACCCTAAACCAACCCTAAACCAACCCAACCAACCCCAAACCAGCCCTACGCCAGCCCAAAACCAACCCCAAACCACCCTAAACCAACCCGCGTCTTTGAACAAGTGAACACTGTGCGGACTTTGCTGCGTTTTGGAAACCCGCTTCTTCGAGCTTTTCTGGGTCCGGACCACAGCGCCGGACCTAGGAGAAAAAAGGCCGCGCCGAGCCTAGGAACAACATATCCCTTCCGCCGAAAAGCCGGCCATGACGACCCGTATTCAACATGTCAAGCCCGAACAACGGGATCCCTGTCGAAAGACGTCCTTCCATCCCGTGAGATTTAGAAGGCAGTCTCATCAACGCATGATCAGGAACTACTTAGGAAGTGTTCAATATCCTAAGTCCACAAAGTGGGATTTACCTTTTACCCACTTAAGGAATCTAGCAAGCAGGGATATTGAACACTTGCCCGTCGTGTGGTGTCCAAGCAACCTTAGGGCCTCCTTATTGTTTGCCTGCTTTGAGTCAGTTGCCCTTGACCTTCTGGTTGTCCCATTTTGGTCCACTTTGAGTCATGGCCCCAAAAGGTTAACCTTATATTTCTGGATCCTTTGGGCAGCTGAATTCAAGTTGGGTTTCTTTGGGATCAAAAGGGTGGTCTCAAAGGCTAGAGGTATCTTCTTTGATCAGACTCAAACTGCGATGACTCGGTGGCAGTGCTGGTTGGTTGGGTCTTTGACCTGAAAACTTCAGGGGTCCTTAGAGAATCATTCAAAAACCACCTGCCTTACACGGGGATCCTCTCAATCAGCTGGCAACGGAGCTTGTTAGCTAGGCCACATGCATCGTCAAGGCAACCTTCCATACCAGGAGTTAACAGTCGACACATGGATGTTGAGTGTATGCATTTAGCTTTCAAAAGGATGTTCTTTGTCATGCCATGGCCGGTGGTTTGATGCAGCGGATGGGTGGTTCCCTGTTTAAACATACAGATACCCCCACTCCCCCAAATGAGTGGAAGAATGGTCAACCATAGGTCTTTTTGTTTTGTTGAACATCAACGGCACCGGTTGTTTGTTTCTAGAAGAACACTATAACTTCTAGTGCCAAAGTGGTTGTCCAAATGGACACCTAGGAGCCACACCACACCCCTCATGGCAACACAAGGGATCCAATTGTTGGCTTAGAAAGCCCAACCCTCCTCTTGTTCCAAAAAAGCTGGGGTCTCTGTGTGTTTTCCTTTTTTGATTACCGCCCCTTTCAGACAATTTTGTGTCTTGGAGTGGCGGTTCGGGGATTTGAGTTTGGAGTGGTGGTTTGGAAATGCAATGGGAAGCTACGCAATCATTCCCCAGCCTTTTTGTATCCAGCTGACGTTGCCAAGGCCAAACCCAAACCTCCGGGGGTGAGGTCCATTTCTATTTTCTTGGTTTCTGGGCCTGAACAATATCAGCCAACAAAAAGAGTGCCGATCCTTGTTTCCCATGGACATCTGACCCACAAACAACAAGTGCCGACCTATTTGTTCCTTCGGTTCCCTTGGAAAAATCCACTGACCAACAAAGCAAAACGTGCCAACGCTCTTTTTCCGCACAGGACTTGACGGCGGCCCAAGTGGCGAAGCTGGCAGCGCAGCACCTGGATGCCCCCGTGAGCCACTTGCGCTCAAACGGGTGGATGGCCGGGGAGGGTCCTGCTAACTGGCGGGGACTTCTGAAGATTTGTTCCAGGGTTCTTAGCATGGGTTGATGAGTTGTTTAGTTTGATGGGTCCTGTTCCCTTTTGCGTGGGATGTGTGTTTAGTTGTTGTTTGCTTCTTTTGTTGTACAACTCACAATTTGTTGCCAATATGCCAAGGATTTGACGGTTGTCTAGCTTGTGCACTTAAGGATCGCAAACAATTGCATGGCACTACATGTTTAGTGTCGGCACAGAAATGTTGGTAGGCCATGTCAATGTCACCATGGGTAATTACATCTCATGCTCATTCCAGGAGGTTGTCCCACGTTTAACACCCCATCTGGGATCTCTTTTGAACGTTTTGAAATTACTTTGCAACTTTTAAACCTCACAATATTTGGTCCAGAATCAAACATCTACATGTTGATATATCATATCCCCCACCCCGTAAGTTAAGCGAAGGGAGGACCGTACCGGACAGTACCCCAATGAAGGACTATTTCTGGGGGATTTGTCTACGGGCAATTTGGGGCTCTGGGCATGGGCGGACCAGTTCTTGTCCCAAACCCGGCGTCGCAAAAACTTATCTTGTGCGCAGTTTGTTCGCAAGGGGCAACCAAAGCAACATCTCACATCTGGTTGGAACTTAAGTGAGCACTCAAACCTGGACCCGCTAGAGGCTTAGAGGTTCACCTGATTGCGTGTATGCCCCAGTCTCCCTTTGTTGTTTTGGGAGCTGGTGGGGTTTTCACCTCTGATTCCGCGGCTCCAAAACAAGTTTTTACTTGTAAAACGACGATATAAGTCTTGGGGGTGATCAAGGAGGGGGCCTCGAGGTGAAGATCAGGAATGGGGAATTGCCAAGTTGACAGATGTGGGGAGGGTGAGTTGCCCTCATGCAGGTCTACTTTCATGCGGTTGGACCAAGATTTAGGGGAGTTCAAATTGGGGGTGGGGGGTTCCAGGTTCATTAGGCAACCTCTGAATTGTTTGGGAAGTTTGCTCCCCTGAAGATGAACACGACGAAACCCCACAGCCCTCACTTGAAACCCTATTTGGAGGGTCTTCTTGGGCGGGACCGGGGTGTACTTGGATGACAGATTTGTTTTGTCCACTTGAGGGACTCATGCCGACCGCATTTGACCTTGTCATCGCTTTAGTCGTTTTTGTTAGCAAGGTTTCAAAAAAAACACCTTTTTTCCAGGCCCTTTTGGCTGAGTTAACCGGGATATTCAACACCCCGACGTGCGCCTCAGGCCAGCTCTTTGCGCAGAGTCGAGCTCTGAACTCTCGCCAGAGCTTGCGCCAGCTGGGTGTTCAGGAACCGAGTAGACCTAGTCGAACGAAAGTCGAACGACTGTGGACTGGCCCAAGCAAGGTGCTTCTATAGGGGGTGTTCGGGATCATTAGGTTTAAAACCTCAAGAAGGCCTTGGCTTGAAAAGTGGCACTTGCACGCAGTGGTGTTGTTGCTTTAATAAGAGAAAACAAATCGGCATTACATGTGTTAGTTTAACAAAAAGCAACAACACACACACACACACTAAAAGAAACTCGCTAGGTCCTAGCGAGTTTCTTTTAGTGTGTGTGTGTGTTGTTGCTTTTTGTTAAACTAACACATGTAATGCCGATTTGTAGGAGGCTCACGCTTCTCCATGTCTGGGTTGCATTGGGGTCATGCGCCTTGTGGTGGCCTGGTTGGCAAGTTAATCACCTAGGTTCATTGCCATAAGCAAAAACGGTCTCTTCGCCCCAAACCTGTGGGTTTCCTTGTTTTGCCATTCCAACAGTATTTTTTGCAGTCGGTCTGCTGTAAGTCCGGCTAAGCTCGGTTCATGCAAACAAATACATGTCCGAAACATACAGGGTTCTCAATACTTCCCTTTTTGGACCATAAGTTCGTCTAGCCTTTTGTTTCCCTCATCCCCTCAATCAGGAGCAGCGCTGAATAACTTGACCCACGACAGTGTCTGTCTGTGTGTGTGGATGGATCTCTTTTGGGCTTATGCCAAAGGGAAACCTGAAGGGACCTCAACCCCCGAGCCCTGACGGTGGCTCCCCCGTTTTTCCCGCGTAGTGCCTTCGCTAGGACGGCGAGCGACTCGCCGGCCACTGCTCGCAAATGCGGCTCCTGTCGGGCTTCGAAGCGCTCAGCGACTTGGCGCTTCGAGAGCTACGGGCCCAACATAGAAAGTACCAAGAATGTCGAAAACATTGGCCAAACTCACACCACAAAGCAAGGTGTCAAGTCTAGAATTTCCTGGTTTGCCGGTTTCTTAGACAAAACCGTTCTTGCCTTTTTGGGCAGACCAAATGGGATACATGATCTGAACAATTGCTTTCTGTGTGCCTCGGCCAAGAATTGGCTGGATTTTGTTGGAGTTTAGTTGGGGAAGCGTCCAGGAAAGTGCCCGCAAAAAGGGAAATGGGCCGTCTACTGTCAGCCGTTTGATGCTGTAAACTATTAGTAATTCTTCAGCCCACCATTTTGACCCAAGGTGAGTTTCCCTGACGTCTCCAAATGTTCCGTTATACTGTGGTGCTACCTGGTCTTTTTGTCTTGTGACACTGTTGGCTCATTAGGCTAACCACTCAACTTTCCCACGTTGGCTTTGTGGCAGGCAGGAATTGAAGGAAGGACTGAGATCGCCACAGCGCTTGTAACTGCCACGAGGTTCTGGTTCCATGTGCGAGGGTTAAACCACTTCCGTGGACCCCTTGACAATGGTGAAGGTTATGCAGTTATGCAAAAAACCGTGGCTATAACCCACATAATGTTGCACTTGCTGTAGTATGACCCCCCGCTCCACTTCCCTGCAAAGCGCCAACATTCGTCGTTTGGAGCCGCTTTCTTGGAAAATTGTCGATCTGGGTTGGACTTGGACTTGCTGATATGATGTAGAGTTGCCAATTCGCAAAAATGTTGTGTTGCCAAGAATTACTCACTGATGCCCAGTACTTAGTTTAGTATTGCCAGGTTTACAGTTGGTATTGCGATTATTGCACCATAGATTTCCAGAACTTACTTTTGTATTAGCAATTCACAATTTAGTATTGCCAATATTTAGGCTAAGATTCCCTGTACTTGATTTAGTATTGCAAATTCTATACTTAGTATTGTCAATCTTTGATTTCGCGCACAGGCATTGAGTAGCGGCAACTCCAAATTATCCAAGATGTCCAGTATGTCCAGTACCTAAATTAGTATTGCCCCTAGCCTCTGAGGTATGAAGGGCTTGCATGAGCCACCCTTTGAAGTAAAGACATGGACCCCAACGCAGTTAGACTAAAGAGGATCAGGGCTCGTGCGGGGTTCCCCGGGGCCACTACAACATGAAATCCTAGATCTAGGCCTTTAGCCTCTAAGCTGGGAAGGAATTCGATCCACCCTTTCAACGTACAGGGTTAAGGCTTTGATTTAGTACTTGTTTGCCTGAATTTCTCTTAGGAAACACACTTTCTAGAATACCCTGAGAACGACGCACCCCACATGTGAGATGCGTTCATGAGTCACTTGTTCTACGCAGCGATTGAGGGCGCGAAAGCCGTCCCAGGATCCTGAAATAGGAGCAGCACCTTCTACAATAGGAGTCGAATTTCATGACATCGGTCCAACATTAAGGGGTTTTTACCAAAGGTGCACAAGATCAGGATCATCTTTTTTGTTGGTATAACATTCCTGGACAATTGACAGTTGAGGGGGGGTCCAAACATAAGGGGTTCCTTCAGAAATGGACTACTATCCCGCACATGCCTTTAACCCCCTCAACCCCTTCGCCTTGTTTGCCTTTCTTGCAACTATCGAGGCCAATGAAGCCCTTTGGGTCTTGAACGTTTAGGCGATCCATGATGCTATTCGCTGCTGTAGCAGGCCATTTTTTCACATGCAATCGTTGATATCACCTTTTGGTTTGGTTTCCCCTCCTTGTTCCCGTGGTTTATATTTGGTTGACACACACACACACTGGCGGTAGCGAGGGCTTACTTCAACCCCTCTATCTTGTGTGTGTGTGTGTGTGTCTGTGTGTCTGTGTGTCTGTGTGTCTGTGTGTCTGTGTGTCTGTGTGTCTGTGTGTCTGTGTGTCTGTCTGTGTCTGTGTGTCTGGCTGTGTTTGTCTGTGTCTGTGTGTGTGTGTCTGTGTGTGTGTGTGTGTCTGTGTGTGTCTGTGTGTGTCTGTGTGTGTCTGTGTGTGTCTGTGTGTCTGTCTGTGTCTGTCTGCGTATGTCTGTGTCTGTGTGTGCCTGTGTGTGTCTGTGTGTGTCTCTGTGTGTGTCTGTGTCTGTGTGTGCCTGTGTGTGTCTGTGTGTGTCTCTGTGTGTGTCTGTGTCTGTGTGTGTCTGTGTGTGTCTGTGTCTGTCTGCCTGTGTCTGTGTGTGTCTGTGTCTGTGTGTGCCTGTGTGTGTCTGTGTGTGTCTCTGTGTGTCTCTGTGTGTCTCTGTGTGTCTCTGTGTGTCTCTGTGTGTCTCTGTGTGTCTCTGTGTGTCTCTGTGTGTCTCTGTGTGTCTCTGTGTGTCTCTGTCGGTGTGTCTGTGTGTCTGTGTTTTCTGTGTGTCTGTGCGTCTGTGTGTCCGTGTGTCGGTGTGTCTGTGTGTCTGTGTATCTGCGTGTCTGTGTGTCTGTGTGTCTGTGTGTCTGTGTGTCTGTGTGTTTGTGTGTCTGTGTGTCTGTGTGTCTGTGTGTCTGTGTCTGTGTGTTCAGGGTATCCTTGTTCAAAGTTGCCACCCACTCACCCACTCACCCACTCACCCACTCACCCACTCACCCACTCACCCACTCACCCACTCACCCACTCACCCACTCACCCACTCACCCACTCACCCACTCACCCACTCACCCACCAGGAAGTGCGGGGGACGCCTGGTTCCTCGCGGTGCCACAGGCCAAGGACGCCTTTCTGCTGATGCAGTCGGACGGATCAGCCGCATGACTCACCGAATCGTCTTGCGGCTTCGCAACCGACTCGCGGGACATGAATCGCCTAAGTTATTCGCCCCCACGCAGTCCTGGATGTTCCTTTTCATCTGCCAAACCACATGTTCGCGTCGGTCCAGTTGGCCAAGCTGGGTCCAGTGTGGTGAATGACGCGGTGGGTAATCTCAAACACATGGAAGAACCACAACAGGGGCCCTGGATTTAATCATCACCTATTGGGTGAGTTTCCTGTCGAATATGCCGACACACTGCGGCTTGTGACACTCTTCTCGTTTACTCGCAATGTTTTAGCGTTTGTGATGGTAAACTTTTCGGGCGTGTGCCAAGGGGAAGCCAAATGGCAAACAAGAGGTACACGGAAACTTAAGCCCACACCTAGTGAAGCCCACATCTTTAAGGGCTCAAGGTTTCGGGGGCGACAACCTTTAAGGGCCCGGACGGATTCCATGGGGCGGAACCAGGTGAGGATTTTGGTAGAGCCAAAAGTCCGGAAAGGTTCCACCAATGGTCCCACAAAAACGTAGGAGACTCACTAGTCGTCCCATATTCTTTGGAGGAACTGCACATATCAGGGTCCCTCACAGGATACCAGCTGATGTACATTGCCAGACTTAGCTGCCCTTTGTGCCTTTTCGCCTTTTGGCTTTCCATCAAAGTTACGCAACAATTCACTTGTTGCAAGGGGTGGGATCCGTCTGGTCAACTTCAGTCAACCTTGAACTGTCTATGAGACCCCAGTTCTGGTCTTTTGGAGGTCTTCTGGAAAGCACTCCAGCAAAAAAAGAACCCGCCCAAAAGGATTGTTTTGTGGGCGTTACAAATCACAGGCATGGAACCTCCTTTCGAACGCTGCTTTGGGGAGCTGTTGGGATGAACACGCTGGTTCTTGCGATTGTTTGACCCTTTCTTGGGGCGGTTTCACAGCCCTGAGCTGAGCGTCAGATTAGGTTTCGATCTTAAGGCTTGCCCGTTTGAGGTATCAAGATTCGGAGAACATCGTCCGAATCATGAATGGGGATTGTAAATCCATGGTCAACAACACGTCATGATTTTGGCTGGGCGTTAAAGTCAATGGGCTTTCCCTTCAACACAACGCCTGGGTTGACTTTGATCGTAAAGCAGGAGGCGGGCAATAAGAATGTGGTTCATACACCACTTTGGAGGGCTCGCGCGAACTGGTAGCCATCGGGGGATTCGATGTTCTGCTCGTTGCCTAAACCCATTTTTCTGCTTGCTCCTTTTCATGTGTGTTCCGAAGCTTTTTGGTTTGGATACCACACCTCTTAGTTGGTAGTTTATTGGTGGATTGTGGAGTTGCACACCACTTCCTTTTGAAAAATGGGGAAGGCTTAACATCCAAGCCACCAAATCAAGCCACCATTGAGAGGGAATCTCAGAGAGTGATGCACAGCACTCATACTCTACAGTTGCATCCAAGCGGCCCGTCAAGGGCTTTGTTTCGTCCATTTGCTATATTCCCCTGTTGGTTTTCAAGGCAATCCATCGCTACTGGAGGCATGTTGTTGTTGTTTTTTCCAGCGGCCTAGAGGCAATGGACGGTTTTTTGAGACCCCACACTGCATTTGGCTTTTGTGAGGACACGGAATCTTTCAGGTTTTTTGTTTCAATCCCCTCCCTAATCATGGTGCCTCAAAATGGGCAAGTATTGAGGCCTTGAGGCCCAAACCTCGAAGTCCCGACTCCTCGGAAGGGAATCTGATGCTACGATGTGAATCCCTCAAAAAAAGGTCAAATGATGGCATGTCCCTAAACCACATGAAGAACCAGCTTGTCCACCCCACCGTGTCCCAAAGTACCGTTCGAAAGGATGTTCCATTGTCCGATCGGCTACCCAAGCTGCAACCATAGAGCCCAGTTTTCCAAGTTTCAACCATGGACATAGCCTACTGATTTGTTGGTTGCTTGAACATTTAAATGGTTTGAACATCATCGTACCATGCTATGAACCCACCCGGTTCGCTGAGATCTCCGCCTGGGGCGGCGCCGCCTGTAGCGAGGCGAGAGCCGTTTGTGCAACGTACACCTCGTGCTCTTGGTGGGTTTAAAGTGAAACCAAAAAGAGGACCGAAGACATTTTGGGGGGTGCCCTAAAGGCACACACATTTCCTCAGGTAACCAATGGGTTTCCCACCCGAGATAAGAACTAGGACACTGGGTTATTACCTACTTTTGCTGGCTTGCCTGAGATCCACGACCTTGTTCTGGGGTCGTCTCATTTGTTTTGTTTGTTAGATTTTAAGGTTGTCGACATATGAAACAGCTTCTGAGCATTGTTTTGTCTGTGTACCCCAGTTGGCCGCCTTTCAGGTTCCCTTGGTTCAATCAATGAGCCATTGCCTGCGCGCTTCGACCCGCCCAAATTCCCCCCGCGAGCATGGTCCAGGTGTGTCCTTCTGTGCGGGTACTGTTTTTGTTGGAATGGAGGGAAACAAAAGGAAAACCCAAGCCATTTTGAAGCATTTGAGGGTCCCGTACTTTGAGGCAGTGCCAGTACCAAAAACACACCCAATACAAAGGCCTCATGATCAAGTCGTGTCGGATTCGGGTCAGAAGGAGACTCTAGGTACAGACATTCCCCGTGTGATCCCCGCAAACACGCAGATATCCTTCCCCAGACAGCCCGAAAAGGGTACCCTCAATTAGAGGCTAACCCCACGATTCCTACTATGGTCAAAAGAAACAAGCCGAAGAGTGGTTTCCTTACGGTTTCCCTTAAAGCGGAGAACCCCCATGGATGGAGACCTGTGTTTCTTCGGGGGCCCCAAAGATGGCTGCGTTTGGAAGGCTTTTCCCATGAAGCCTTCCAAGGAAAATAGCATGACTGTCACCATGGCAGCCCATAGAAAAACCATAGAAGATAATGTGGTTTCCTTTGGGTGTCCGTTCAAACCCACTGTTTCTGCGGGGATTCGGACCCTTCAAAAGCAAGGGGTACTTGGATGTTTAACCCACTAAGCAAGTAGGCTATAGCCATAATATGGCTATAAGGGGGCCAACCCCAGTGGCCCAAGTTATAGCCACGGTTATATCCTTACCTGACGTAGGCTGAACATAGCCCCAGCATCAGGAGTTCTGCGAGCGATTGCACGGGATCACGCAGCTTGGTGCCACCCCCCACGGCGCCTTCGCCTCACTGCAAGCGGACGGGTCAGTGACCACCTGGGGCATCGCGGCCGCGGGGGGATCCAAGCGCCCCGGTGATCACTTGGGCGTGTCTCATTTTGGGGGTCCCCTAAATGTTTGGTTTCGTGTGTTGTCGGTTTTCAAATTTAGGGCTCCAAAAAAAGCGGCCAAATACTGCATCAACATGGTTTGCTTGTTGGTTCTCCGCAGGGAATGCTGGAATAACCCTCAGGAGCCATCCTTTCTAGCTGTAAGGGCATCTCTGAGAGAGTTTCGGAAACACAAGCTTTGTTACACATCTAAAGACAAATTGGGGTTGGCAATATGCAAGTTAGGATCACTTGAGGTTCGTGCTGAATTTTCCTGATTTGTCGATGGCTAAGCTGGGGAGTACCCCCAAGTTGACAACCCCACTGGTTGAGAAAGCTTCTGTGCAACATCAACCTTTTCTATGTTGGTCTATGTTTAGGCCAGGTTTCAAAAGCTTAGTCGTTCATTACCAGGCACAGTCGGAGCGCACTCAGAAGGTATGAGCCCACAAAATGTGTGAGTTCCCTCTTGATTCCATTGCAAAACCAACCCCCAAAAAAGATATACCCCCCTAGACAAAGACGGGGTATGAACATGTTCAGGGCCCTCAAAAAGCCGATCAGGGCCTTGGAGTCCGGAAGTCTTCAAGGCCTGCAAAGGTTCTACCTGGTTTCATGGGTTAAAGTAAGGGCTTTAGAACTACCTGGAGTCCTGGAGTCTCCTTCTGACTCGAATCAAACATAGGTCAGTACCCAGAAATGAAAGGGTCGCCCCGTGTTTTAAGGGTCAGAATGAGACTCCAGGTATAGCTCACTTGTTCAAAGCCAACCTTTTGACCTTTTGTTTTTCCCTTTCTGGCAACTACGTGTAGTCGAGGCTCCAAATGATTTCCAGGTTCTTTGGGCAAGTGCGCTTGGTCTGTGCCATGACGCCAATGGCTTTTCCATACCGGGTAACCCCCTAGTCGTGGTTTGGTTTGCCGGTTTGGTGGTTTGGGGGTTTGAACCTCCAAGCCACCAATCCAAACCACAAATTAGAGGGAACCGCTTTGAAGCATTCGAGCCCTTTCGGGTCAGCTCCACCCCGGAGCCAAGGTCTCATGTGCAAGACCAGCTGCAGCATGTGGTGGCCATGCAGGCCAGGGATATGCAGAGCCAGGCACATGTTGTTTGTTTCTGTTGGTACGGATCCGCTTTTCCAATGGTATGCTTGTTTTTGGGTAGGTTTAAGGCGCAACGCAAGAAAGCCAGCGATTTTAAGGGTCCCATTCCTATTTTGAGACACATGTGTTATTCAGGACACAGCCTAGGCCGGTTTTGAAAACCGCAGGGGTTATATAGGGGGGCTGATCTGAATCTATGTGATTGCAACTTGTTCCGAGCTGGGATTCTGTTCCAGAAGAACCCCTGATAGCAGTCAGTGTCTTTGAGGCCGTGAGGGTACTCCTTTAAAATTTAGGCCGGCGCCCGGCGCAATGGTTGAAGAAGTGCGACCCTCTATCACCACCAAGCCAATACTCCAAGGGATAGAAGAGGGAACCAAAAGTGGGATTGTCAACCCCCACCCGAATTGGGTGGCTCCTTTTGGATCCTTCTTTGTGCTTGCACCCAAGGGTTGGGCAAACGGAGGCGACCAACGGAGGCCTTGGCCGTCGGAGGTGGAACCCGAACTGTTTGCAATACGCTCTGCCAACATACAGCAGGCTCGGACACATGAGGTTTAGATTGGGGGGGGTTTAACCTAGGTTTCCTATCACTTGCTGGGCCGAACAACAAAGTATACAGACACCATACTGTCAACTGCCTTCTGGGTTGAGTCGCGCTATGTGTGGGTTTATGCGGGATTTCAGGAATAGCCCGCCCACGATGCTTTTATGCTTGATGCGTTTTTAAATGTTGCAGATCTCGCAGCCCTCTCTTCAGCTGATCGAGTGCTCTTTGCAGCAACCTTTTGATCTTGGATCCCCCTATGTGGGTGTGTCTTTTTGTTGAGGGGACCCCTTTTGTGGCGGTTTTGAAGGGAAACCAAAAGGCAACAGTTGTTTTTTTGTGTTTTTGTTTTGAGGGGGGTCCCCCTAAAAAGAGGCATACCCATATAATCCAAAAGACAGTTGCACATGCAAAAGGGACCCTGACATGTCCAATTTGTTGTCGGTATGGCTACTCCTGTTTTGGAAAAAGTAAAATGTCCGGAACACGGCCATAAACCTGGCCTTGGGTGTTTGACCAAGGAGTAATGAGCTTGGTTCTAACAGCTTGTAAGCCTCCAATTGGAGTTTTTGCAGCTACTGACAATTTGGCCCAAGACCCAATAAATGTTGAGAAGGTGAGTGCTTCTTCCCCCCAAAGTGAGTTGGATCCCCGCGTCAATAGCTTGCACCCCCTTCAATCAAATCAGCCAGGGGTTACATTTGGGGTTAGCATTGTAGTAGGTGGTGAAACCTAGCGGCAAGCAACCCCAAGGGTTAACGCCTGGAAGCACCGGGGGATACATCCAGAAACCTGATGTAAGTTACTGAAAGTGATATTTATTTGAATTATATAGCCGAAACGTATCCTACGCCTGCTCCCTAATTCACTTGAAACCCAAGAAGGTCGTACATTTCGAAAAGGACATTCTTCACATTGATGGTTTTGTGAGTTCCCTGTGGGCACCCCGGATTAATAAACCCCTGGTTGAGGACGATCGGGGGTTGGTTTTAGCGGCGATTCATCGCTTTCCTCGGATTGATCCGGACCCCAGAGGAACCCCCTAAAATACCCTCTCCCCAACAATCATGGAAGTGGACAGAGAGGTTCAAAAGGAAAGTAGTCTTCCAACACTGTGGCAGCTTCCATGATTCGGAGTCATTAAAAGGGGAACCCCACTCGGACCTTCGAACCGAGGCCGCGGGGAGCGCCTTCGCGGCGCTGAAAGGCGATGGCTCCGTGGTGTGCTGGGGCGGCCGCGAGCGGTACCTCGAGCGGAGGTTCCTGTTGAAATCGGTCCGTGTACTTTTGTTTGAGGCTCGGTCCCCCCTTTTTCGGGTTGGTTTTTAAGGAGAACCAACAGGAACGGAACACCCCTTTTATTTGTTTTTTGTTGGGGGGGGGCGCCCTAAAATTGACACACCTAATTGAGTGGTTTCCTTTGCTGTTGTATAGGGAATGGTTGAAATCACATCCCAAGATTGGCCCGGAGGATGTAAGAGAAATGTGGACCAGCTTTTCTGGCTTGACAGGATTGACCCAGGGCCAGGGAACCCCATTCTCACCCCTCCAAATACCTGTTTTGTAGGGCAACCTGCTGGTTTGGGGGGACGGATCAGGAATTGATTATCTGCTTTACCACAAAACGTCGCTTGCAAAGGAGCAAGCAACTCAGGTTGGCGTGCGTCACCACGCGTGTTCAATTCATGTCCGCTTCAAACAGTGTAAGGTCCAGTCAACCCCCCCCCCCCCCCCCCCCCCCCCGCCCCCCCCCCCCCCCCCCCAACGCACGTGAATCTTCTGTCCCAAAATTGGTTGAACATCCGGCAAAAGTTGATTTGGGTGAGTTTCCATTTTTGTTCCCTTAAATACGACCCCCAAAAAGGGTGGCAGTGGGGGCAAGCCGAGCACACCAATGAGAAAGGTCTGGTGCTTTGTGAGAATGAGGGGTTTGCTCCTCACGTGACACCAAGGAATCTCCCGTTTAAGGTAAAGACGATCGGCCAAAACTCTTTCTGTATCACAGTGGCCACTTCTCACAATCCTTGCAGCAATCAACCAATCGACTTCTGCTGCTGGCTGCTTTGAAGCAGAGCGGAGTTCATTCAGAAGCATCTTTTTTGCATCCCCAGAACATGTGATTTCTCATTGTCTCTTGAATCTTGCCTAATTCACATCCCGCGCAAAAAATGGCTCGATGGAAAGAGCAAGACATGTGGAACTGCCTTTCTGGCTGGCTGCTTTTGGGAGGAGCAAATGAGCAGGAAATATCCGTTTTACCAAAAGCAAGGAGCAAAGCGGAGGTTTCCCTGCACCAGCCCGCAACAACCACAATTTGCTGCAAGGGGAACAGCATGGGTCCTGTGAACAAGCCCCCCGCCCCCAAGAGAAAGTCCATTAGACGGGGGGCTGCTCATCAACTCGCTCCCTGAGTTCCTAGACTTTCAGACTTTGGTACTTTTTGGGCCGACAATTTGAGTGGCAAGCCACTCGATCTGAGGAAATGCAACTTGGGCCAGGATTGCTCCCAGGTCCAGGAGCTCCGGGTGCAAAGTCTTCGGAACAAGCCCCCGAAATGTTTTTTTTTGTTTTCCCCCCCCCCGATTCCCTTTGCCGATGGGCTCACACCAACACCCCAAAACATGGCATTTGCTTCTGAGTTATTTATTTGGCCCTGTGGTTTCAAAGGTGATATTACACTATCGACATATGTTTGTTTTCCCGGAGACGGGACCAAGAGAGTTTTGCATCCTCCCTAAATGGGTAAATCTGAGTGGGTGCCAAAAAGGGCACGTCTCTTTTTGGGCGGCCCCAAAGATGGCCTCTTTTTCCTGTGGGTGTCCCTTTAAGACAAGATGTATCAAAAAGCGACACATAAAGTTGGATCCCCGGGTGCACGTCGAAGGAGGAGTTGTACGAGGTGCGGCACTTACGGGCCACGGAGTCCGCCTTCGCAGCCCTAAGGGCGGACGCTCGGCTGGAAATCGGCTCGACGTCTCCCGACAAAATGGGTGGCTCGTCGTTTTTGCGGGACCCGGTCCCCAAAAAATCGGTTTTCCGTTTGGTCTTCCATTCAAAACAAAGGAGGTACCCTCAAAAGAAGACAAACCCAAATGTCTTGTTTTTTCCCCACATACTAGTAGTGTTTATCTGAAATGCATTTCACTGAGAATAACGGCAATGCCGTAAACATACCGGGGCCGTAAACATACCGGGGCCCCACTCCCCGGACGGGTTCTTGGAACCTTCTGAGCTGACCTTGGCGTGGACACGCACATGAATCCAAACCCCCCGGGTTTATATGTTCGCAAGTGGCCGGTATCTCATCAACAGAGCCGGTCAGATTGATCCGGCAATCCTGTAGAACGACCCACAGGGAACCAACTCGAAGAACTAGGAGCCATCCCTTTTTGCCCCGGTTGCTAATACATGAACAAACCCATCAGGTCCTTTTTTGCTCGTTGGCTTTCGTCCTAAGCACCAGCCTTTTCATGTCTTTTTTCACACGCCTTTGATGCTTTCTGCGGGCAAAAAGAGGAATCTGCCAAATTCGAACCCCTATCGCCGTATCTCCGCATCTCCGGGGCTTGGGGCAGCAAGTCCGGAAACCCGCGGGGTGGGAGTTACCCCAAAGTTGAAATGGGGTAGGAGACCACTGAACTGAAGTGGTGGACCTCCTTGTCTCCGAATGTTGATGTCCAAAGGGTCTGAGTTCGTACCCATACAATATTTGACAATATAGGGTGTGGCACTCTCCAAAATAGTGGTGTTTCTTTTGGTTTTTCTTTAAGATTAAAGCGGGTCCATCAAAAAGGACAGACCCCTATATACAGTGAGTAGTCGTAGTGAGCCCCTGTTTGGTTGGATTGAAATGAAAACCAATGACCAACCGCAAACCATTTGGGGATTCCCTAATATTGAGACCCGTAATATCTAGTGGTTGTTTATAGTGGTCCGACCTGTGGACCCGATGCGGATCGGTTTTCCGACAGGACGGCGCGGTAGTGTGCTGGGGCAACAGCTGCGAGGGTGGCGACTGCACCCGGGCAGGAGATCTGCGGAATGTGGTCGCGCTGCGCGCAACCCGCCGGGCGCGGGGCTTGGCTTGGGCGCTGGGGGGGGGAGCGGGGGTGAAAGACGTGGGAAGGCTGGGGAGCTTGCCTGACCAATCCAAACCCTCACTGCCAATGCGAATGACCAACCAGCAGCTACATGATTTTGTGCCAGGGATTTGGACCCCGAAATGAAATGGTTGGTTGTTCTTGGTTGCACGTGGAGGCCTGCATTTTGGAGCTCAAGTTAGGATGGCCGGTTCTTTTGGAGGGACATGGGGACGCACCCCCGTTTCCCACAAAGGGGCAACAATCCAGCTATTATGACCCAATCCAAGGCGGGGCTGTTTTGTGGACTGCGTGGATTAACGGCATGGACCTAGTGCAAATGTTCTCTATGCCAAACTTGTCCCGAGGCTGGGTCAACATTTAGGACCATCGCAGACAGCTTTGCCCTTGACTAAAATTTGATGAATGGCGAGATGTAAATCCAAGCGGCTTGTTTGTTTTTCCACCTGAGCAGGGTGCAAAACCTAGCTGCACTGCGATTGAAAGAGGGTGGTCATAAGGGCTCCCCGCGCAAGGAAAACACGTGGCGTAAGGCTGCGTAAGCTTTTGTTGGAGCCAAATTTGTCGCGTAAGCGGTTTGGACTGTCCTTGTGTTGCCTGGCAGCGAGTTTATTTTGAGGTGAATGTTTGAGTTCCATCGGATCGCAAAGGCTTTCAACTAAAGGACCCACCCCAAATACGAAGGGGTCGTGTTGCGTGGGCGGCTTGCGAGCTTCAGGCTGCAGGCCCACTTGTTGACGCTTCACACCCCACGAATGCCTGTTCGAGGCTAGAAAGCCTGCAAAACCTTGCTGGGGCGTGGAAAGGGCTAAAAAACATTAAAAAACGATCTAGAGCGCAGCCTTTTCGTTTTTCGTTTTGGATACCTGGAAACCTTGGCAGGGACTCAAACACAATAAAATGGAATTAGTGGGTGCCACCAATGCCGTTTTGAGGTTGGTTAGCTTCCAAAACCTCGCTTGGGGCGAAGAATGCACGAGGGGCAGTTGGTGCGCAGCGCTTTTTGCAATGTTGTGGACCGGGTTTCTTGCAGATATCTCGCCGTCCACGACGCCACACCAACAGGGTGGCATACGCTCTTGGCCCGGGTTGGAGAGAGGTCTGGGGCTCCCCCCCCTGTGCCGCAAGAAAATGCGCTTCTTAGCCGGGATCTTTCTTCTCATCCCCATTACTCACTAAAAACCTTGCCCGGAAAGTCAGAAACACAAAAACAAAAAAGGGGACGTAAGGAAACCATTGAGTTTCGTAAGGGGGCATTCTTCGCATGAGCCGCGCGCAATGTTTGTGCAAGGGAAGCTGAAATGAATAAAAGCACGCAAGAAAATTTGTACTGCGCGCAAGCTCGCGCAAGCACCCAAGGCGCAAGAGTTCCTTACAACCTAGATTTGAACAAGACTTTTTGAACGCTCACCTTAGGGGTTGTGTCGCCCGACTTTTTTCCTCTTTTTTTTGCGTTTTGTAGGACGGGCGCAGCTCAGCCGACCGCAGCTCGTAGCGTCGTTTCGAGCGCAGGCCTTCGCGGCCATCAAAGCGGACGGCTCCGTGGCCACCTGGGGCCTGGTGGAGTGCGGGGGCGGGAGCTTCTTGGTCCAGGACCAGCTCCAGGCGCGCAAACCGAAGCGAAGCCGGGGGTTCAACCGTAGCCACGCGGTGTGTTTAGTTTGTTTTGTGTTTTTTTTGAAGGGGAGTGCTGTGCTGGGGGGGGGGAACCAAAAGAAACTTGCCTTTCTGTGTGGGCCAATTTGCACGGCTCGCGTGATTTGTTGGATGTCCCAGACTGCTTGATCCGCTGCCAGTTGTGACTCCGTTTTCCACTTGGAGTGCAGAGAAGAATAATACTTCCCTCAAAGGGGAACAGGGACCACCCGGCCAATCTTGAGTTCGGCTGGGTCAATGTTTGGTAACATTTTGACATGTTGAAGGCGCTTTTCAGTTGCCGATACCCAGGCGAAAGTACATGGCACGATTCCCTTTATGCCCCTGCGTAAAGATGGCAAACTTAGTGGCGGTCATACTCATGCTTACCGGCATGTACCCGCGAAGGGTTGAACATCCATGGAGAAAAGCCACAGCACTGAAAGACCCAGCAGGTTTTTGGGGTGAATCTTCCACGGTTTGGGCCCAATAACCGGGTTGCGCGGTCCATGGGTAAAAGGCGCTTCAGTGACACCACTTTTCACTTGGGATTCCATGCCCATTCCCTTGAAGATTGTTCGCTTTACCCCAAATTGGTGGTTGTTGATAAACCGAAGGCGAAAGCAAGCCCAAAAAAGAAGCTGAACTATGGAAGCGCGGGATGTTCAGCCAACAACTTGGGCAACTGGGGTTGGTCCGCTTGTAACCATGGTTAGAACCTGCTTCCTAAGTGTCATGGAGGCTAGCAGGCAAGAAATGAGCCAAGCACCCAACAAAAACGGGGATGTCCTTGCAGAAATTCCTGGTTTGCTGGTTTCTCAGAAGGTGGGTTGAACATCCACGTAGGACCCTAGTGTTCGGATCAAACAAGCTCCGGCTGAATTGGGAGGGTGCCCTATTTACGGAATCCAGAATGCTCCCCTTCAACGGTTTTAAGCATCTTATTGTTTGGGTCCTTTCCTAGCGAGTCTCCTTAGGGGTGGGTGATGTGTTTAGGTGGGAAGCATGGGGCACCCTGTTTGGTTTCCCTTTCTCTTGCGGCAATTTGAAGGGAACCGCAAATGCACTCGTCGCGGAACTCTATGTTGAGATGCTTTGGTTGAACATCCAAGTGGTGAACCCATAAACCAAGAGCAACCCCATGGGCACCCTCGGGAATCAGGACGTGGTGGAGGTTTGCGCCACGGCGGGCGCCTTTGCGGCGCTGAAAGGCGATGGCTCTGTGGTGTGCTGGGGTGATCCTGCAATGGGCGGCCGCTGCGAGTTCGAGTTGACGGACAGCTCGAGATGCAACCGGGGGAAGGGTTGCTTGGAACCCTTTGTGGAGTACCCTGTTTAGATGGCTTTACGGGGAAACTAACAGGACACCGAAGCCCAGTTTGAAGGTTCCCCTGTGAAACAAACCTGAATACCCGCTTTTTTTCAGGCAAGCCGGTGTAAGGGGTATGGTGGACTTAGGGTCTGTTCTTGAACCTCCCTGTTTTCGGCTTTGCCATTGTCGGTTCCTGAATGCTAGGAAAGCCAAAAGGAGCACCACTATTGCAAAGGGGCAATTGATACACCCATTTGTCAAAGGGATTGCCCGAACGTGGCTGGCAGGTTTTCCTTTTGGCAGTCCAACCTCTCATGGCCTTGGGATGTGGGCCCCAAAATTGCTCTAGAAGGTTTTCATTTTGGCCAACCGACAGCCCCAAGAAGACTTCAAGACGTAGCCCGTCCTCTCCGTTGGCGGTTTGGACGTCAGGAGGTCCGGTCGCTCAGCGCCTCACGGGGCGCCTTCGCCGCGCTGAAGCGCGATGGCTCCGTGGTCGCCTGGGGCGACGGCGGGAGATCGGATCGGATCGGTGCGTGTGATTCAGGTTGGTTGAATTCGCGGGGCTTCAGGTTGGTTTTAAGGGAAACAAAGCGCTTCAGTCACTGGAGTTGCACTTTAGTGACTTTTTCAGGTTGGACGGTAAACGAGAAGTTCGGTTAGTTTATCTGACCAATGCACTCAGGAAGCGAGTTCAGGGAAACCAAAACACACTTGTGCAAAGCGAATCGACCGATAAAGGACCCTTTGTGGTTCCCTCTTTTGGGTTCTCATGTTTGGGTCCTGGCAAGTGAGCAAAGGATCAGAAGGAGCCTCCAAAATATTTCCGCGGCCAAAGACGAAGGCCACTAGTTTGGGAGGGTCTGGTTCGGAGACGTCCCGAAGAGTTTGTGGGAACCAAAGGAAGCCATGTTCGGATACTTCCTGAGTTCCTGGCCTTGGTACTTTTTGTGAAAGCCATTTTAGCAGCATCTACTCGGGTGAGATTAACCCGGAGGATACCAAGGCTTTCAGGACCAAGGGGCGGGTTCTAGGCGATACACTCATTTCCGTGCTATGGAAATCGGAGAGAGACATGGGTGGCCTGTAGCCAAACCTCCGGTCGGGCATCCTCAACAAGACACTATAGTCCTCACCTCGTAGAACCTCGTGGCTTTGTGCTCACATTGGTTTCCCTGCCATTGGAACCCGAATGTTTAGAAGCCATTGGTTTTGGTTCACGCGATGGGCTCGTTTTGCGATTTGTTCAGGGTGCGTCTCGCACATTCGGCCTTCCCTGGCCTCCAAACAGCCACGAAGCTCTCGCCCATTTGAGACTCGGAACCCGTATCCCAAGGGCCAATGAGCAGAACAAGGCTCGCCCAGATGCCTTGCCATTGTTTCAAGAACAAAACAAGGCTTACCCCACCTCTTCGATCCTCTTCGTCTCTTTGGGGGGCAGTTTTGCCCAAGTTACACTTCTTACCCTCGCAACCCCATTCTAATTCTACCAGGAGCCTCAAAAACCGATGAAAATGTCATACCTACAAAAACACGATGTGTTTTGGGAAAACACGATGTTTTTGGGAAACACGGCATTTTCGATTTCAAGCATTTCCCCATACATTCCTTCAACTTGTCATCCGTTCTCAAAAGATCTCAAGAGCATCATCTCAACCTCAGAATCTCCCATTGCCCGCCCGTTTTGCGCTCGTAACGAAATCAGCTTCGCATTCGCCACTCGTCTTTCGCAACTCCAATCCGAAAGAAGGAGGCCGGGGACCCAAATAGTCAAAAGCACCACGGTTTTATGACACTTGTCAAGCAGCAGTGCCATGATGAGGGCGTGCTGGCTTCAAACAGCGCGCAAGCTCAAGCAAAGACTGTGCTTTTGCTCACGACTTCGTTGTTTTCCAGCAACATTCTCGAATTAGCGCATTCGTGGTTGAACCCGAAAAAAACCATAGAATTTCCACGGTTTGCCACGCTTTACTACGGTTTTCCACGGTTTAGCTACGGGTTAGAAAACACGATGTTTTCGAAAAAAACACAATGTTTTCGGTTGGGGCTGCAGGTTTTCTATGGGTTTCTACGGGTTTTCTGCGGGTTTCTACGGGTTTTCTACGGGTTTCTGCGGTTAGCCGCCAGGATCCCGCCCCATTTTTAAAAAAAGACCTCAAATTTCATAAAAAAACAATCTCAAAAGGTGTCACCTGGTCTTGTTTTGCACCAAAAGGAGCTTTGGGATTCCAGCACCCCCTTCAAACTGGTTCGGTATGACCTGGCGCCAGTCTTCAGGTGCCTGTTGCTGTGAAGGTACTTAAAGACTGAAGCCAGCTGCGCACCCTGGCTGTCAGGCTCATCAATGTGGCCCTTGGAATTTGAAGCATACTCAGTATAGAGCGTTGCCCTCAGTTGAAATCTTAAAGGGTGATGCCTGTGTGAATTCCACTCCGGACCCTTGCCTTTGACCCTTGCTCCAAATGACTGTTTGGCCTCAGAAGCCAATTTTTAAGGGGTTTTTATCAAAAACACAATGTTTTCTCCTGAAAACACGATGTTTTCAGAAAATCGAGAAAAAACACAATGTTTTAGTCAGGGTACGACATTTTTACAGGTTCTTGAAGCCCTAGGTACAAGCACTTGTGGCATTTCCGTTTGGGCTTCTTTTTTTGAGGGTACCTTTTTCGGTTCAAAGGGACCAACCCCTTGGTTCTCCGGAACCTTCAAGCTTGCTTCCGGGTGCCTCCCGGAACCCGAGCCAAACAGAAAGCCATAAGGTATGTCTCAAAATTGGGATTTGGACCGCCGAATGGATTTCGACTTTCCATTTGATTCCTCGTTGAACCAACCCCAAAGTGGGCACCCTCAGAATCAGCCCAGGTGGCATCCCAGCGGCAACTCCCGAACCCTGAGCTTATTTGGGCGGAGACATAGCTTGCAGCCGGGGAAGACGCTAAGCATCAACGTGCGTGCGCGTTTTTTGGGCTATGAGAGGCCAGTGTGGCGGCCTGGTGCCCACGGAGTTCAGTGCGCGGCTCAAGCAGGCCAAGAGAATCGGAAACTCTTGGGTTCTGGTGGTCTGATGAGTGTAACTGACTTCTTGATGAACATAAGTAACTATATCTTTGGATGTATACATGTTTATATACATCTCTGCATACGTATTTATGTACGGATATATGATATATGTATAAATATATATATATATATGCATCATTAGTTGCTGGACTTGTCTACTGTTCGACTAATATTCTGGCCAATCCACTTGCGCGAGACAAAGGAGAGCTAAAGTCAATCCAATGATCCTTAATGGTTCAATGCGGAAGGTGATTAGGATGGTCGTAAAGCCATGGAAGCCGGTATAGCTGGAGTCTCCCAGATCCTTCAATTCTGGGTTTCTACCCAATTCTTTTGGGTGACCCCATTTTAGGAGACTCCTGGTAGTTCAGCCCCCAACTAGGTAGAACCACCTGCTAAAATGGCCAATAGCGACTGACTAGTGGTTTTTGGTTCTGCCAAGATACCTAATATCTTTTGAGCATCTCCCGCGTGTCTCAAACATAGGGAACCCCTGAAATGGATTTCCTGTCTTCCCACAAACCTCAGCCGTCGACCCAAACGCCTGGATTTTGGGGGTTTGGAACGGCAGGTGGTTGAGCTGGTGCCGGCGGCTTTGGGCTTCGCGGCGCGCACCGTGCATGGGCAGGCGCGGCAGGGAGTTTTGGGTTTTTTTTTGGGGACGGGGTGGTTTCTGGACGTGGAAATCCTTCGGGGTAGGCCACTGGAAGGCGGGGCTTGTTTTTTGTTTGGCTGGGTTAGTGACCTTAGCTTGCGATAGTAGGCCACTGCAAACTTCCATCAGGCTATGTTGTTTGATTCCCCGTGTTGGTTTCAAAGAAAGTCTATCACCATTTTGTTTCCAGGGAACATCAGCAAATAGAGGTACACCCAGCAGCTTCCTTTTCCGTTTTGTTTGTTTGTGCGGTTCTCCCTTTGCCATCACTGTAAACCAGCATTGCAGGGGTGAATTCCAAGGAGTCCCTGACCCTTTGAACATCATAATTCACTGGGGAGAAGAAGGCCCATCTTCTAAGCTCGTTCCATATCGAATTTAGCCAGTTGCAAGCCACTCTAAGAACCATCTTCCTTTTTGCCCTTGTTACTTTTAAAGGGTTGGTAGTGGTTCTCCCTTAGCCCACCGAGTTGAAGTGAAACCAAGAGACATCCCACCTATTTGTGGGCGGTTTGACATGTTCGAAATTTGTGTTTTGCTCCCGTTTTCCGGGGATTTTGAGGGACAGACAAGCGTTCGTGGTGAAAATATACCTAAAGGGGGCCCTTAGGATTGGTGCTTTGGGGGGAAGGACCTGTTTGGTTCCTGACCATATCAACCCACTTGGTAAGTTGCATGCATTGTTCTATGGAGGGTTCGTAAAGTGGTGGTCCCCTTTAACATGGTTGATTTCCTTTGGCTTTGGGGTTGCCTGCAAAAGGGGGTACACCATTTGGACCCCCCCCCTCCGCCTGTCAACTAAGAGGGGTTGCCGCACATGGCGCCAGACGTCGGCAAGGAACCAAATGCTGGCAACACCCCGTTTTAGCCATGTAACTGACTTTCGATCACATTGACCTGTGGAGGGTATGCCCACATGAGCAGCGCCCCAAACTACCATTGCCCAGTGGGGGTTTCACTACCTGATGTCATACGCATTAGCCCATACACACTTTGAAAACTTGGCAGAACCAACGGACCCTGCAACATACCTTTTGAGCAACCCCAGACACCCTATGCAAGGATTCTTCATCAAGGGAGGGTGGATTCTCAAAAGGTCTGTTGGAGATATTTGGCAGAGCCAAAACCACTATTGAGTCGCTATTGGCCGTGTTAGTGGTCTTTCTATTTGGTTGAGGGCAGTGAGCTCACCTTGGCGAAACCGCATGCAACCAGGTGGTGTGCTGGGGCGAGATCGCAACTTGCCAAAGCCGGAGGGGCGTTAAGGTGTTAGACGATTTTTCCTTGGGAGGTGCCCTCCTACCTAAAAGAACGGGAAACGGGTTCTCAAAGCCTATCTTAGTTGAACGATCTTTTTGAGTTTCGGTCCCTCAAAAGGAAAGGGATTGTTTTTTGTTTCCCCGGCTGAAAGCTATGGGATGCGAGCCGGGTTTCGAGGAGTGTTTGGGGTTCTGGGGATGCATGGCGGTTCCGAGGAGAGTTCTGGGGATGCAAGGGGCAGTTTGGGCGTGCATGGGGCAGCAAGGCAGCTACAAGGAGGGCTCCGGGGATGTAGCTTTCGAACAGCGGCAAACCTGAGCGCCCCGGGCGCACCCGCCTAGGTGCGCGCAAGCAGCACACTAAAGTCACTAAAAGGCAACCTCCAGGAATACCGAAGCCCTTTTCGGGGGGTCCCTTTGTTCTAAGACTTGCCACCATCTTATTTCATTTGCGCTCTTGACTAAAAAGATGCTTGGTCATGGTATACATGCCTTGCGCGTGAATTCCTGTTCGAAGAAACAAGACAGGAATCAAAAGAAAGGCCAATTCTTTCCCCGGCTAACCCCCAATTAGCCGCCTGAACCCTTCTGAAGTAGGGCCGCTCAGCAAACCCGGCAGTTTCCATTCTAGTATATACTACATGACTTCCATTTACCTGTATAGGTACTCGAGGGCTGTTTTTCACAACCAAACTCAGCATAGGGAAGGGTTACCTAGTACTGGCGAACGGCTGGGATCCACGTACGAGAAACCAGGAGGCAAGGAACTGCAGTTACCCGAGCCGCCCAGCGGCCTTGGGGAAGAAAGGGCCTTTGGCAGTCGACTTCAAAGCCCCAACCCCAGTGGATGTCCATGGGGCAAAGCGGGAATTTGGCCCATCTTTGTTTGGTTGGCTTGAAAGGGAACCCCTCTCCAAAAAGAAAGAAGGGCACCACTGGAAGTCTAGGATATGTCTGACACGCCTGAAGCGCTAGTGTTCGGGCTCCCCATGGGTTGGTTTGAGAGCGTTTTTCCTCGGAGCCGGGTCTGCGTTGAGCAGTGTTTATCGTGAAATGGCCATGACTGTGAATGTCAACCCTGGATTCATCAGTTTGGTGGATGAACACTGCGGATGGACAAAGTCAAACTCGCAACAGTTGAGATGGATAAAAGTCGGGAATGGTAGTTTACCAACTGGTGCGAGATGGTTTTTGTCCACCACAGTGCCGTGTTTCCCAAGACAGGGGTCGGTTTAATTGCCTCCAATGAGGGACACTCCCCTATCAACCCGCCAACTCCGGGGCTTCCATGTCATTTGCCTGACAGGGTTGCAGGCTGCCATCCGCGTAACTTGTTCGCAATGAAAGAGAGGACGTGGCTGGGACGTCTTCGCCACGAAGTACCCAGACCTGCAGTGGTATTTTTTCCCCTGGATTTGCTTTCCCTTTAAGTTCTATACTGTAGTTGTTGCGCCTTATTGTTTTTGCCTTTTTACCCATGGCCACTGCGGGTCTGCTTCCATGTATGTGTCTGGTGCACCTCTTGCAACCATGGTGCTTACCGCTAGTTGACCGATTCTGGAGGTTTGTTTCTTCAGGGTTCAAGCCAACAACCAGGTTCCTAATGCCGAAGTGACGGCGACGCTGACTGGGGTGCTGGAGGCAGCGTTCTGGCGGCCATTTCTCGAGGGGTGTTCTCCTTCAAAAGTGGCGATCCCCGCTAAAAGAGGGGATACCTCCCCATGAACCAACCAGGTGTGAACATCATTTCGAGGTTTCCACTACGTAAGATATTGTTGTGAAAGTTGTCGTTAATGCCACTGCTGCAACAGGAGCTTTTGTATCAGTGTTTTTTTTTGTTGTTTATTGTCCTGCTCTTGCTCTTGTTGTCATTATTGTCATTCTTGTCATTGTCATGTTGGTTCTTGGCTCTCGGCGTTTCTTGAGTTACCGGATGCCCACCTACAAAACAGAGACGGAGAGTTTCCTGTGGGCTTGACTTCAAAGACCAAAGCTGAAGGGCGAAGCATTTTGAGGCACACCTGCTATAGCCACCTCAAGGGTACTCTCACGGTTCATCCTTTCCCCTGGCAACACGATTGCGCGGAGCCACAGGGGTTCAGGAACAGGGTGGGATTGAGTGGTTGTGCCAGACAGTAGTGACCAATGGGAAGAATCTCGTTCTGGCCGATGAAAGCAACATGGACACTCATGAGTCCTCTATATATATATATAAATAGTATATATATATATATATGTATGTATGTACTTTTCTTGATTGAAACAATATGTTTTCCTGGTTTGCTTTAAACAGGGTGACCCAGTGTCTTTGTTTTCTGGCTTTCCTTCCGGAACTTGTCTCGTCTCGTCGGAGGTGCGAGCGAACCTGGGTGCCTTTGCGGCGCTAAAGGAGGATGAGACTTTGGTCACCTGGGGAGACTCGGCCCAATGGAAGCCCCGAGACGTGACATGTGCCAACTTTGTGCAGGTGATGTTTTTTTTGCTGAGGTCCCTTTTAACGGCTACCAAAAATGAATACCTTTTTTGCTTCATGGCATCCACTGAAGGTCTGGGATTGGAGGAAAGATCTCAACAACAATGTGGAGCCATGACCTTTCCTACAAAAGGGCGACTTTGAGCGTGCCACTGTTCATTTGGACAAAGCAAGCTTGGATTTGCGTGCACGGGCTCATCATGATGAAGGTTTTTTGGGGAGATCCCTTATTTCAGGAGGCCCTCTAAAAGCGATTCCTGTTTGCTGTTACAGGTCGGGAACCTAGATCTGCGAACCAACGGTTTCAGCAATCAGACTTGGGCAAATTATAACGAGCTCACGTAGGGGAAAGACGGGCTCACCCATGATGAAGGTTGTTTGCGAAGGGATTCCTGATGTTCAGTTTGTCAATCAGAGTTTTTGCAGAACCTCCAGAAAAGGTCATAAGGTCGCAATTAGTCGGGAGAAAATTATAGGGCCCCTACTACTAGGGCCCCCTACCGTTCTAAGAAGCCCTAAGAATGATGTAAGACCCCTCGTTGGTTTCAGGGGGAACTCGGTTTTTCTCGACTTAGTTGGCTTTCAGGGAAACCAGGGACAGGAGATGGAGAGGTTGCGCTTAGATCGCTTGGCCTGTTCACCAGTCGCCGCTTGCTTCGCTCGCCCCTCCGAGGAAAGTCGGAATGGGGTGGAGACAGCAGCGCTGTGCAGCACCAGCTGACACGGGTGGTGGAGGTGTGTGCCACAGCCAAGGCGTGTCGGTTCTCCATGGGCAGTTTCCCGACGTATGGCGACATGAGTTGTCCATGGGCACCAAGCCCGTTTGCAGTGAATCAGGCCCCTTCAAGGGGGCGTTTTCAAAATCAGCTTTTGGGCGAATTTGATGGCCTCAAAACAATAAGCAACCCAAAAGGTGCACAGGCTCCGTTGCTTTCCTTTTTCAGGGATCAAACCTATGCCCTTGCAAGAGACGGTCATAGCACTGGTTGGACATCCACTTCAACCATCCTCCGCTTCTCTCGCTGCCATCGTCGGCTTGGACCACAGAGGGGGTTTGCAAGCTTGGCATGTTGTTCGACCTCTCGCAATAAGGGGACGCTCCGCCCGCCAAAAACATGTTTGCTTAAAATGTTAGGTTGTGTATCTCTTGTTTCCCTTTATCATCACATCAACATTTCACACCCCACAAGAGCATAATATGACTGCAACAATTGTGGAGCGCTCACCTTGGGTAAGACAATCTCACCCATGGTTTCTTGGAAGGCCTTTTGTCGGTATCACAGTTGCAATTCCTACAAACATTGTAACATGCCCCTCACTCCCAGAGCTTCTGGTCTTCTTTGTTGGAAACCGACAGAAGACACTTTTTGGCCCATCCACTCCAAAAGTGGGGCCTCAGCGGGTGTTTGCCCACTGATTCAGAGCCAGGGAGCCCCAATGGCCCTCAATGGCCCTGAAAAGCGTCACTTGATGCTAGGTTGCAAGACTGGGAGTGTTAGGTTTCATGCTTGTGGCTTCCTTCGCTTTGGGGCGATTGAGTTCCATGAAACCGTCAAATCATGTTCTCTAAAACCTGACAGGGATCTGGGCAAATTGCTATACTTCACAAGCAAACATGTTTTTGCCGGGTTTTGGTTTCTCTTCGTGGGTGTTTTTGGTCAGCTGCCTCCCTTTAAAGTTGTTTAAATCTGGACGAAGGAACCACTGCTTCCTACTTTTAGTTTAGCAGTCCTTCCCCATTCTGGTCAATCCTTTGTGTTTTCAATGCCAAACCCATGAAAACATGTGGCTTCCAACGAGAATCGGTGACGAAAATGAGAGAACCAACCCTTGGAACGGTGGCGCCTAGAAAACTTATCCCAGACCTGTGGCTTGCTTCCTCTTTTTCCATTCTTTTTGGAGGGTTTCCTTTAGAATCAACGGACAAAATGACGCCGATGCTCTAAGCGCAGGCCTTCGCAGCGCGCACGACGGAGGGCGTGGTCGTGGCCTGGGGCGCTGGCACCCACGGGGGAGTCCAGCCGCACGGTATGATCTCTGCTCTGAGAGTTGGGGTCTCAACCAAAATGGATGGGTCGGTTTGAGTCCTTGCCCAACGGCGCATCGACCTTGGATCTTTCAATTTCCCCTTCTTGGCAATACCTGGCCCTGGCGAAGCTGGTTTAATCATCTACCAGGCCCAGCAAGCCAACCAAAAGGATACCTATGTAAAATCATTGTGGGTGTTGAGAGACGATGCCCTTTTGGATAGGGTGGTTGTTTGAGGATAAACAGACGGGCAACAGACATTCATTTGGGGGATCCCCCTATTTTGACACATACCCTGTCACATTCTTAAGCCGATTGAGGCTAGAACCTGTGTGGCCTTCAAAAGGAAGGTCGGTGGAGTTTTGATATCCCCCAACGGGTCCCCATTTAAGATTTGAATATTAAACTTGGCTCAATATGAACCAGCATCTGAGCATTAAACCAATATTAAGGCGTAGGCCAGGCAATCAAGACGGAACCCCAAAGGGGTTCTCAAAGAATGTTTCTGACATGATGTGAGCAGTTTGACCCCTGAATCATTCAAGCCTGAGGTGAGGGACGGACAGGTTGGGGCGAGAGTTGAGCGCTCGAAATTATGGGTCAGCTGGAAACAAGGCGGAAAGCATCATTGCAAGCATTGGAGAAAGAAAGTCCTTTTGGGTGGTAGCTGGAGGCACTGGGCTTGACTAAAGTGATGGTAGAACAAAAATGAGGGTCTCGTCGGTCGATATTTACCATGGAAGCATCTGCTAAACTGACATAGGGACTCAGAAGAGTGTCCTAACCAGCACCCAACCGACTGCTTTCCGGACAGTACTTGGCGTTCTACACATGGGAAAAAACAGTTCTTGGGACCCAACCTGAAAGTTCGCCAAAGAGTTGCTTGGTTGAAATTCGTGCCTCAACTGAGATAGACAATGTTTGGTAACATCGCAGACACCTTGGCGCGCCGCTTGACTAAAGTGATAGGCCATAATTATATGCATTGTCCTAGGACCAGGGTTGTATGTTGACCAAGGTAACGTGGAACCCAAGATGGATGTTCCCCAAACAGGAGATTCACCTTGACATGTTGACTTTGGGATTCCTTCGGGACTTGAGAGCAGGGTCGATGGATGGGCATGAACGCGGCGTTAGCTGAGGCCGCGTCTCATCGCACAGCTGCAAAGAAACGCTGGGTAGTGACCCTGTTAGAGCTGAAGATGAATTTCGCGGCGAGTCCGCATGCGACAAATGTGCAGCATGATGGGTTTCTCAAACAACTCGCCTCAGTTTCAGCTTCGCTTGCACCCATCCATCCATCTATATATCCATCCCTCCGTCCGTCTGTCCGATTGTCCATCAAGGAATCCATCCATGAATTCATGAATCCATCCATCCATCCATCCATCCATCCATCCATCCATCCATCCATCCATCCATCCATCCATCCATCCATCCATCTATCCATCCTCATACATGAATCCATAAATTTGTGCATGCTGCATGCATACATGCGTACGCACGTACATACTTGCCTACAGTCATACGGGAATATATCCAAACGCACATGGGCAGTGGGTACGTACGTATACACATACATGCATGCATACATGCCTGTGTGCGTACATACATACGTGCATGCATGCATTGCAGAGCAGTGCATTGGATACCACACCTACCCAATCACTTTCACATCTCCGCTTTGTTTTTGTTTCGCGCCCCCCAATAACATTTGGGGCAAGTTCTATAGGAGGCCCAAATGTTGATTGCAACCGCCTTGTTGGCAGCAACACCCGACCCGATCATCCATTAATCAATAATTGTATTGATCCATCATTTTATCCATTCGTCCATACACGCATGTATACATACATGCATGCATACACACACATGCATACATATACACACACACACATGCATACCTCTTAGATACATACGTACGTACGAACGTACATACACACATACTGGTACACAGATACACACATGCACACATACCCACATACACGCTTGAACACATACACAGATACGCAGATACACAGACACACAGATGGACAGTTACGCACATGCATTCATACATGCATACGTAAAACGCGTATATAATAGGACAACACAGCAAAACAAAACAACACAAACCATAACATAACACCCACCATAAAATGCATACATGCATGCGTTACATTACGTTACACTACATTACATTACATCACATCACATTACATCACATCACATCACATTGCATTGCATTACATTACATTACATTACATACCTACATGCATGCATGTATACGTACATACGTACATTCATACATACATACATACATACATACATACATACATACATACATACATACATACATACATACATACATACATACATACATAACATACATAACATACATACCCGTACATACATACATACATACATACATACATACATACGTACGTACGTACGTACGTACATACATACATATATACATAGATACTTAGATACATAAGTGCATGCATACATACATACATACATACATACATACATACCTACATGCATGCATGTGCATGCATGCATTCATGCATGCATACATACATACATACATTCACACATTCACACATACACACATACACACACACATACATACATAACATAACATAACATAACATATCATAACATAACATACATAACATACATACCTACCTACCTACCTACCTGCCTGCCTGCCTGCCTGCCTGCCTGCCTGCCTGCCTGCCTGCCTGCCTACCGACCTACCTACACACAGACACACACACACACACACACACACACGCACAAGTATACCTTGCATTTGTACGTATATACATACACATGCATAGATCTATTGATATACATGCAACGATCTTTGAGTGTGTAGGGCAGTGCACAAGCCGGAATTCCACAGATTGGCATCACACCGTATTCCCAACTTGCCCTCAGTGAGTAAGCGGTTATTCCCAACAGTAAACACACACACACACACACGCAGAGTGTCGCTTTGCCTTTGATTTGTTCGTTTTGGGCGGTTGGTGCAGCATGTTTTGAAGGTGCCTTGGCGCTTTTTAAAGTTCAGTTAATTCAGCATACCATGCGGAAATAATGGTCCCTGCTCGAAACATGTTCGTATGTCTCTACTTTCAAGGACCCTGCGCAGAAAGGTCAGGAGGTTAATGTGCCTGAGTGCCAAATAAAGCCAAGCAATACTTTACGGTTGGGCGGGGCCTGTGAAAGGTTGTCTATCGTGTTTCTGAACATTCATTATTGATTTGCTCCGTTCAACTTTTCTAAGATACCGACATGGCGCCGCGGGGATGTGCGAAGCACGTGCCCGACATGTACAGGGGCTGGCCCTTTCGAGTCGAAAAGGTGCGCCTTGTGACGAGGCATGTGAGTCGCCGGCTTTTCCACGGCCCGGAGGGTTGCGAGCCCTTCTTCAACCAGTTTTTGGAGGACTGAGGTGTCCTTTCAAATTTAGCCACCTCGCAAGGGGTCGAGTTGGTGACTTCGGCCCCATGAGTTGTTTTGTTTGTCTTGGGTCCATGTGGCTGGGCTTGAAAGGACAACCAAAAGGAACACCATTCCAACGGTCCCCTAAAAAAGGACACCCATATGTCATGTAGGTTGATGAATTAGACAAAGGCGTGTGAAGCTCGGCCTTTTAACTGTTCTTGGCTCGGTTTCTGAATTGATGTCCTTTGCTGGAGGTGTTCGACGAAGACTGAGGTGTACCAACAAACGGCCACCCAAAATTTGTGTTGTCCTTTTGAGTTCCCTTTAAAATGGGCCCTCCCAAAAAGATGCCGGGTGTACCAACAAACTTGGAAAGGTCCTTTTCGCAGGCCCTTGGCTGTCCTCGAAAAGACACCAGTCACCAGTTGGTAACCGTTTTCTACCTATGGTTCCTGTCAGGTACCCCTTGCTTGGTGGTTTGGATTTGTGGTTGGGGGATTTGAAGCTTGACCCCCCGCCCAATAGGGTAGCTGGTGAGTTCCCCTTGCAGCTCTAGATAAGGGATGGTGCCCGCGGATGTGGCGTGGGACTTTTTGGGGCCTTGCCCTGTACTACCACCCCCCTCCCCGGCACACCACCACCCCTCACTCGGAGCAACCAGGTTTCGGCGCAAAGTGAATATAGAAATCCAAAAGCAAGCGCAGTTCGGGGGGCGACTGCCCCCCCATGATGTTCAAAGAAGAGGACCTTGCCCACCACCACCCCCCCCCAACTCCCCGCGCACAACTGAGGGGCTGCAGCCGCCCCCCCCCCTCCCCGCCAATGATGTTGAAAGAATATTTTTCGGCAGCCCTCAGGGTGTATATAGAAATGATGATGTTCAAAGAAGATTATTCGGCGCAGGGTGCAAATAGACAGGGTGCGGATTCACTTTGGGATCCGATTCACTTTGGGATCCCCACCCATGATGTTCGAAGAAGTGATGATTCAAATACGGGTGCAATTCAATCCCTGTAATAAATCTAAAAGCATAGCAGGGGGGTTGGGGGCCCCCCATGATGCCCGAAGAAGTGATGATTCAACAAAGGATGCAGCTGAATCCCTGTAGAGAATCTAAAAAGTAGCGGGCGGGTGTGGGGGCCGGCAGCCCCTCCATCTAAAAAGTAGGGCTGCCTCCATGATGTTCGAAGAAGATTGTTCAACAGCCCTCCGGGTGTATGCAGAAATCATGATGTGCAAAGAAGATAGTTCGGCGCAGGGTGTGTGTAGAAATGAACAGAATCGGGGTGGTTAGGGGGGCCTTGCTCGAAACCAAGATCCATGGACGCATCCTTCGCCCGGTTGGAACCAACAATCGCGCTTGCAATTCACACCGACCTGCGTGAAACGGCCTTCTGGTTCTAGTCTTACCTTTCGGAATACCGACTTTTTGAAGGACATGGTGTCAACCCCTCAACACGCTCCGGCTTCGGGAAAGGAAGGTTGGTGCAGGAAGGGGCGGTGGTGGTGGTCGGGAAAGCGGGAAGGGTGCGGGGTTGAGGGTGAAAGAATGGGATGAAGGGGCGGGGTGGTGGTCAGGACCCGAAGCAAACTACTTGAGATGGGTGGTGGTGGTGGTGGTGGTGGTGGTGGTGGTGGTGGTGGTGGTGGTGGTGGTGGTGGTGGTGGTGGTGGTGGTGGTGGTGGTGGTGGTGGTGGTGGTGGTGGTGGTGGTGGTGGTGGTGGTGGTGGTGGTGGTGGTGGTGGTGGTGGTGGTGGTGGTGGTGGTGGTGGTGGTGGTGGTGGCACGACACCTCGTTTACAGGAAAACTAAAGGGAACCACTTTCTTTAGGGGTTTCCCTCAAAGAGCCCCCACCTTTGATTGGTGTGGTTGGGATGGGGGTCACATCAACCCTATCTAGACAGCCATTGCAAGCGCGCTGTTTGGTGGCACATGTAAGTTGCCAGTGATGTCAAAGGGGGAAAGGACAAGCGCCAGGTTTCAGGGTCCTCTATTGAGACAAACCCAAGCGGTCGGTTTCCTCGTCCGCTAAGGTGGTGGCCATTTTCTGCGCGGTGTCGGATTTGGTGATCATGGTGCGCAAGTGGCAGGCCGACCTCTTTTCATGTATATATTTGTTTAGAGGTATGAAGGCTATGTTCCACTATTTCCACTGAACAAAGTATATGTGCTGCCTTACAAGCTGATATTGGTTCTATATACAACAACCATGCTGCCAAAACCCAGACCCGGAACAACCCTTTAACCTTCGCCGCAACCTGCATTGAAAGCGGCAGGTTTGCTTGAGACAGATGGAGGATGTTGGGTTGACAAACGATGTTCTACTTGATCCAAGCATAAACATGGTTTCACCCCGCGAATTACTGTTTCGCTCATTGGTGTTGGTGGTTAGCAACTTGGCGCTTTTCACCGCCTAACAAGGTTAAACCCACTGCACGGGGGACTCATATGTGGGATATACCCGGTCACCCGCAACTTACTAACTTGACCAAAGACCCAAGCAAGGAAAACTATGAGAGTCTTCATGTTTGCTAAGCCCAGTGAATGCATGATGAGCAAACCAAACTTGGTTCGTATAGAAGGCAACCAATTCCCCTGGAGTTAACCTTGTTAGGAGTTTCTGAGTGGCTTATAGCCGAACCTAGCGTTTCCGGGACAAGTGCACGAGCAAGAAATGGATGGCCGTTTCGCACAAACCAAGCAGCAAGTGAGCAAAGTGAAGGTTGCCAAGCACAGCCAGGGCTG